GGCAAGGCAACATCCATTTATTAAGTACTTACTATGTGCTAGGCAGTCTGCTAAGTGTGTATGTTTGTAATAGGCTCTGAGGTCTACCCTGATGAAGCAAGGAGAGGATTATGTAGAGACTGGCACTCTGGAGTTAACTGTGAATTAACTGCAAGTCGAACCTACTCAAGTATTTTGTGTAAGCTGATGACCAGAGTCAGGAGAAAACATCTAGGTGCCCTAGGCTAGGTTTGAAAATTGCATCCCATCTCTCTCTTCCTGACTCCAACATCCCCTAGTTTACCACGTGCCCCTCCCCTCACCATCACATGCACAAAATTATATACGTTAAAAGGAACTTCAGAGACCTCCTGTTTCAAGTAAGAACAGCACAAAAGCCCCTCTGCAGCATTCCCATCCAGCCTCTCACTTGAAGAATTCCGGTGCCTAGAACTCATTATCTCCTGAGCCAGAACACTGTGGTTTCAGAAAGATAAAATGTTAGGATGTTTATGCTGACATAAAAACTGAAATCTGCTCCTCTCAAGCTTACAACCATTATGTCTGCTTCAGCCTGGTGAGTCCAAGAAGAACAATTCCCTTTTCATATGATAGCTCTTCTAATACTTGAAGATGGATGCTGTGTCCCTTCTCCTGAGTTTTCTCTCCTTTTCTAAATATCCCCATTTTCTTTATCTGCCATTCCTATGACAAGGTCTCCAGTCCCTTTGCCGTCCTGATCACTTCTTTTGGGGGATATCTGCTTGCTTATCAATGTCCTTCCTAAAACATAGTACACAGAAATGTCCAGTAGTCCAGATATGGTCAGACTAGGGCAAAGGATGATATTTCTCTCACTTTGGAGGATATGGTTCTCTTGTTTCAACCCAAGATCATATTAGCTTTTTGGCTGCTGAGTTGACCCAGATATAGTGAGTGTGCAGTTAACTAATAACCTATCACTGTATCTGATATCTGACATTGGGGATGCCCAAGTGAGCAAGCTCTGCTGACCCTGAGTGGCACAGGCCACATTCTTTTAAGAGTAATGCCATGGATTCTTTCTGCAATGTACTTGAAACTGAACCAAGGCACGAGGCTATCCTGGATAATAACCAAAGCCTGTCTCTTTTCTCTGGTTTGAATTTGTGACAAGTGAAAATTTCTGAAAGATGGAGTTTCTGGGTAAATTATAATCAATTTTATTAATTACAGCTAGCAAGTAATCAACAAAATTAGCTAATTTGTTCCTCTCAGTGAGCAAAGAGACCTAACCTGTGGACCCTTCAATACTTACAAAGCCTTTGGAAAAGGGGGTTTGCCTGAGGGTGGAAATCAACTCTGGTTGACTAACAAGTGATGAGAGAATGACTATTAGAATGAGTATTATTAGAATAATTAGACTGTTAGAATAAGGTGGGCTTATCTTATAATGGTCTGCAGGACATAACTCTGATCATTCAGCCGTGATCAAAGAGACTCATCTATGCCTACACCACCCACGTAGGGTGATCTAGACAAAATTCCACTTCCACGTAGATATGTCTGATTAAAACATGGGCTGGAATCCACCAATGCACCTTGACTAAAATTTCTTCATCTTTGATCCGATTTAAGTTTTCCCAGTTGGCTGTGTCTTACCTAATGCTCCACCTCACGATCAGCCCTGTACTTCAGAAGCTGTATGAATACAGAAATAATCATTTCTCTCAAATTATGTTTGGGTGAGATCGATGACCTGATCCCATAGGTACGGCTTCTCATGTCCTGGACCAGCGTTCAGCCAAACTCCCACTCAGGGATAAAAGAAAGAAGGAAACCATGAAACCTAGGTGACCCAAGGAAATCACAGTGATGTCTTACGTGTTTGCGCTGTGTTTTCCCCTGTTGGATTACAAACTCCATGAGAGCTTTGTGTTCTTATACATCCCACAATATCTGGCACAAGCTCTGGCACCCAGTACGTACTTAATCAATCTTTGCTGATTTTTAAAAATTGAGCTGAACTTTTTTTTTTTAAAGTAACAGATTCAGAGCTGGAAGGAACTTAGAAGTCATCTCATCCAACCCTTACCCCCCCCCGCCCCCATCCACCCACCTCAGTTCATGGGTGAGAAAACTGTAGGTCAAGGAGGAACCCAGGACTTCTGACTTTATATATAGTGCTTTCTGTTGATTGGGTGCCCTTCATTCCCAGGGAGGAGCTTTGGGACCTTTTATTATGTAGATCACTGCTTTGGAGGCACTTTCTCTGCCTAGCTAATTTTGTGTATTCATTCAACAATCATTTGTGTTTTTTTTCTTTTGGTGCAGTAATTGGGGTTAAATGACTTGCCCAGGGTCACACAGCTAGTAAGTGTCAAGTGTTTGAGGCCATATTTGAACTCAGGTTCTCCTGAATCCAGGGCCAGTGCTCTATGTACTGTGCCAGCTAGCTGCCCCTCAGCAATTATTTGTAAAGCAACTACTATGGTCAGGCACTATGCTAGATTCTGGGGATGCAAAGACAAAAATGATGGTCCACTCTAGAAAACCATCCAGGACCATGTTTTTCAGCTATATATTCCATGACATTTTTTTCCCAGGCTCATTTTATTAGAGGTTAGACTTGAACTTCGGCCTTATGACTCCCTGTTAAGCATTCTTTCCACTTGACCATATTATCATAAATAATATCTGCTTTCTAGGTCCAGAGATAACCAGTTTACCCCTGGAAGTGAGGTAGCACAGTGGATAGAATACTTGGCCTGGAGTCAGGAAGACTCACCTTCCTGAGTTCAAATCCAGCCTCAGACCCTGGGTAAGTCACTTAACCCCATTTGCGTCAGTTTCCTCATCTGTAATGATCTGGAGAAGGAAATGGTAAACCACTCTGGATCTTTGCCAAGAAAACCCTAAATGAGGTCACAAAATGTTGGACACAACTGAAAACAACTAAACAACAATAACAGAATAGAACAGCCAATACACCCACCCACACTGTACTATATACATCTGAAAATAATTCAACACTCCAAAGGATCTTGGATCTCATCAATGTATTTCTTCCATCAATGGAAATCACAAACTATCTATGCTTGTCATTCCTGTGAAGTTCTTGTCCATGATCTCCCATGAATCTGACACAGGGAATCTGCCTAGTATTATAAAGCAATAGTTTTCAAAAGTGTGGTATCTAGGCCCACGGAATTACCTAAGACCTTTTCAAGGATACTCTCAGTCAAAGCTATTTTTATAATAATACTAAGATGTTGTTTGCCTTTTAAAATGCCCCTTTCTTTTCCAATTACAAATACGTGTGAGGCCAGATTTTTTTTTTATATACTTCAGCCAAAATAACAAACTGAAACAGATTGAATGCAGAGGCAGATATTAGAATCCAGCTGTCTTCTATTAACTCAGACATTAAAGAGATTTTTCAAGAATATGTAAACAATGCTACTGTTCTCATTAAATTGACTGGTTTTGGAAAACAGTTATTTTTCCATTAAAATGTGCCATTTTTGTTAAGGAGCTTGTTATTGTTACTTTAAATTAATTAGCAAATATTTTTATAATTTATCAGATTTCTAATATGGCAAATTTAGATAGAAATGTTACATAAATGAAAGCTCTTTGGAGTCCATAATAATTTTTTAGGAGTGCAAAGGAGTCCTCAAGCCAAAAAGTTTGAGAACCACTATTTTAAGATCTTTACTTAAGTTCCAATGTTGCAAGGATACCAATGGAACACATAGGTGGTCCACAGGTTATCCCTTGCTTTCATTACGTGGTCTACCCATCTTTTTTGATCATGGTTTCTTGGATGATATCTTATATACAATTTCTCTTATAAAATTTCTTTTCTGTAATGTATTGCAGCGGATATGCATTCTCTAGGACACTGGGCTAATGGCATCAAATCCCACAACTTTGTAGAATTTCCTCAATGAGATCTATAATCACTTAAAGGAGTCTGGCCTAACTATCTACAAAGGAAAAACAAAGTGAAGGAAGAATGCCTATTGTCCAGATTCAGAATAAGAGCAGCAAAGGTAGTAGCAGTACTAATAATAATTATAATTGTAATTGTAATAATAACAACATTTTATCTAGTAAAATTATAAAAAGGACCTCTAAAGTTATCTAGCCCAAACTATACCTGAATATCTCTTCTAAAACATCTTTGATAGATGGTCAATCCAAATTTCACTTAAAGATCCAGTGATTATAAGCTCACTACCTTCTGGGGCAACCCAGGAGATGTGCAAAGCATTTCATATGCATGATATAGTGTGAGAGCCTCAAAATAGCCCTATGAAGTAGATAGGGGAAAAATTGCTGCTCCCATTTTACAGGTGTTGAAACTGAAGCACATAGCAATAAGTAACTTCCCCATGGACATAAATCTTAAAAAATGACAAAACTGAGAATTAAATGCAGACTTTTTTTTCCCTTCAAGGCAATCAGGGTTAAGTGACTTGCCTAGGGTCACACACCTAGTAAGTTTCAAGTGTCTGAGGTCTGATTTGATTTCAGGTCCTCCTGACTTCAGGGCTGGTGCTCTATCCACTGCACTACCTAGCTGCCCCATAAATGAAGACATTTTAACTTCAAAGTCAGGGTTCCTTCCATTAAGCCAATTTTCTGCCATTCCGATAATGGAAAAAGACTTTCATGTGTTGTAAACTACAGGTTATTACAACCCTGGGACAGATCATTTATTTGTATTGCATTCTTACCCTTCCCCCAGCACCTGCAGATAATATGATAAGCTAGTTGTGGCATAATTGTACATTATTTAAGTATTCGTTCAAGGCTGAAGTCAAGTAATATTAGGGGTTTTAAGGTCATTTCACACATAGCCAAAGCTGATTAGAGACTGTCTCCAAAATAATTAACCAACTAAATATATTAATTGTCAAAAAAAAATTTTTTTGTCCAGACCTTTAACTTAAATAATGTAGGGAACTCTCAGAATGGACATTCCTCCCTCAGGCACTAAGAGATGTACGTAAAGTTCTCCCTTTTCATTTACTTACAGTAAGCTCTCCAGCTTTGACGAAAGGCCACCAGCCCCTCACCCGCTTTTGCTGGAATATTGAGATCTTGTTTTCCTCACTCAAGTTGCCAGATTTGGGAAGATCACAGGCCTTGGCAGATTTTGCTCCTCGAGGGAAGCCATTGAGGTTCATCTCTAGAGAGCCTAGAAAGAAAAACCCATATAATTTAATCACAACAGTAATAATAGTTAACACGTAAAGAGCACTTGAAGGTTTGCAAAGTGTTTTAAATATTTACTCTCATTTGATCCTTGAAAAATTCTGGAAGATCAGTGCTATTATTCTAATTTTACAGATGAGCAAACTGAGACAGAGAGGGATTAATGAAATGGCCAGGTGCATGATAGTAGCCAGAGTGTGAAAGTGTGACCTATGACTTCACAGATGAGTGTAAACTACCTTGAGTAAATGTAAACAGCAAAAAAAAAAAAGCTACAACTGTCTCATGAGAACACTTGCACATCACCCTGGGCCATCTCTGGCACTGTGCTTTCTTTGTTCTGTTTCTATGTAATACCTGGCTATGGCATGGGGTTGGTGTGGGGAGCCATCATTCTGTCCTGCTTCCAGGAATTGCATCTCATGAGTAAACTCCCCTAATCAGTATAATTAACCCTAATAGAACCCATTAATAATCAAGCTGGCATGGGCCCCTCTTTCTCAGTATTCTCTCAAAAGGTCTGTGTCCCTACAACAGATCAGCCCCCTTATATTTGACCTTACAATTGGCATACCTGGCCAGGATAGTCTGTCCCCCTACAAATCTTGTATCCTCACACCAGGGTCCTATAGCTAATAAGCATGTGATGAATGAATCAGATTCAAGTCATCCTGGCTCCAACTCCAGAACTCTAACCACCATATCACCCAGCTGCCTCATTAAAACAGAGGTGTTCAAACAATTTCATTCATTTGACAAGCTCTGCACCACGCACTGTACTTTATGGTGGTGTTATAAGGATAAATATGATCACAAGCTCTACAAAACTTTGAGGAACATGGTTTTCAAGTATGAATATCATTCCATAGCTTCTGTAAGGTAGCTCAGCTGCTTCAGTTTCCCTCCCTTCTTCTAAGGAACACAAAATTATCCTAAAGGTTCTTTAAAGACTCCAACACACCCTAAAGGTTGAGAGAGAGAGACAATGCAGTTGAAGAGTTTAAGAGAAGGAAGTCAACTTTCCCCAATGAGATATACCATACTGTAGGTCCTATTCTGGGGACACCCTCAAGATTCACTGCAAATGTACTGAAGGATAATGATACCTTCCATACGTATAGCACTTTAGGTGTTAGAGGGTACTTTACATTTGATTTGTGAGCAGTTAAAAAGAGAAGATGTGAGCACTATAAGCCACAATGGGTTTGTTAAGAACAAATCATTCCAGATTTGCCTCATTTCCTCTTTTGATAGTTAATAGACTAATAGATCATGGGAACATCATAGATATAATATATCTGGTTTCTGCAAGACACTCAGCAAAATTTCTCATGATTTCCTTGAAGATAGAGAGAAGACATCCAGCTGACATCCCAGTTAGGTGATTACGGAATTGGTTGACTGATGAAATAAAGACTAGCGATCTTTGGATCAGAGTCAACCTGAAAGGAAGTCTCTAGTGAAGTCTCCAAGGACCAAGTCCTTGGTCCTATTCTGTTCAATATTTCAATTAAGAACTTGGAAGATGCTTAGTAAATTTACAGCTGATGGAAGTTTGGAGGGACAGCTAGTACACTAGATAACAGAACCCTGATCCAAAGAGACCTTGACATGGGAGAAAGGAGTGCAGTGAATTTAATAGGCTGAAATTTAATAGCCAGGCAAGTCTTAAATTTAGGTTCCAAAAATCAACAGGATGAGGGAAATGTGATTAGCAAGAGAGCACATGAAAAGATTTGGGAATTTTAGCTACATGCAAGCTCACTAGGGGCAGCTAGGAGGTATAGTAGATAGAATTCTAGGCCTAGAGTCAGTAAGATCCAAGTTCAAATCTGCCCTCAGATACTTACTAGCTGTGTGACCTTGGGCAAGTCACTTAACTTCAGTTTGTCTCAGTTTCCTCAACTGTAAAATGGGAATAATAATAGTACCTATCTCCCAGGACTGTTTTGAGGATGAAATGAGGTAATAAAGTGCTTAACACAGTGCCTGGCAAATAGTAAGTGCTAAATCAATGTTAGCTATTGTTACCAGTAGTCAGCAGTATCCTGTGACTTCCTAAACACTAATGAAGTTTTAGGCATCATTAAAAGATGCCTGTCCAGCATCTTGAGCAAGAGAAGTAATAATCACATTTCACTGTACCCTGGTCAGACTAATTTTAAGTATTGGACATAGCTCCCGGCACCACATTTTAGAACATATATTGTCCAGATGGAATACATCCACAGAAGGGCGAACAGTCACAATTACAAAATTGATAGCCTGAAGTTAGTGCTATCTGAAGGCCAAATTACCCACAGCTGGTTAATTAATTACTGAACTATGTGACAGCCCAATGCATCCTGCTGATTGGGGAATGACAGGTAAGAAGCCAGGCACAGGTGCGTCTAGCGACACCAATCTTCACCCCTCCCTCCCATACCACCTGTCACACTCTAAGTATCTCATTTGATCCTCATCATAACTTTGTAAAATAAGTAATGTTATTATCTGTATTTATAAACAAGGAAACTGAAGCCCCCGCAGTTAAGAGACATTTTTGTAGAATAAGGCACAATCTGCTTAATAAGTGGCAGACCCAGGTCTTCTGACTACCAGTCAGGGTGTGCTGGAGTTAGCTTGTACAGAGATTGTTCAGTTTTCTGTGTGAGCAAGAATTTATAGCTACAAATGCTACAAATCAGGCCTTGATTTATTATTTTTATTGATTATGTAGATTTAAAAAGTGTTGGAGAAAGTGTTAATAATGCAGATGAAACTTAAAAGTTTGCCCCTTGTACATTTTCCCCTGGAGAGCTGGTTGTTAAACATTTACCAGATCACTGCTGCTTCCAGGCTAGTGCTCTATTTTTAGTACCCTGGCTACCTTTTCTGAAAGTCTGTTTCCATGTTTGAGAAAAATACTTACTCATGAAGATGAAGGGGTGATACCTAAAAAATAAAATTAAGGAGTGAGAGGATTATAGTGGGAGAAGGAGAAAGGGAGAGGTAGAATGGGGTAAATTATCTCACATAAAACAGACCAGAAAAAGCTTTTACAGTGGAGGAGAAACGGGGGAAGGTGAGAGGGAATGGGTGAATCTTATTCTCATCAGATTTGGCTTAAGGAGGTAACAAATATACATACTCAATTGAGGGGATAACAGAGGGGAGGGCAGGTTGGGGGAGGGGGTAATCGGAAGCAAACACTTTTGAGGAGGGACAAGGTCAAAGGAGAGAATAGAATAAATGGAGGGTGGGATAGGATGAAGGGAAATATAGTTAGTTTTTCACAACATGACTACTATGGAAGCATTTTGCATCACTATACATGTATAATCTGTATTGCTTGCCATCTCAATGAGGGTGGGTGGGGAGGGGAGAAGGGAGAGAATTTGGAACTCAAAGTTTTAAAAACAAATGTTAAAAATTATTTTTACATGCAACTGGGAAATAAGATATACAGGTAATGGGGTATAGAAATCTATACTGCCCTACATGAAAATAGAAGGGGAAGGGGATAAGAGAAGAGAGGGGTGATAGAAGGGAGGGCAGATTAGGGGTGTAAGTAGCATTTTTAGAAGTTTAGCAATGGAAGGGATAAGAGATGAAGTGGAAGCTGGATTCTATAGTATAGTCAAGGGAAGGCTTTTTTTTTTCAAATTGTGAAGAAATGGACATATTGAATGAAATGTGGGCTATTACACACCTGGAGAAACCATAAGAACCAGTCCAAATTTTGATTTAATCCTAGGCTTGTAGATGATGATAAAAAATAGTTACAATGTAATTGTACATTACATGGGGACCCACAGGTGTTAAATGTTAAATGAAAAATTAATCCCAAGGAGCTCAGAAAGAAACCACATGGACTTCAATCTGCCTCAGGGACCTTGAGGAATTATCCAGAACACATGGAATGTGTTAAGATGTGGGAAGAAGTTCAAAAGAGTGATGTAGCCAGTGTAGGTCTCATTTTAATTAAGCAGTTTTGTTAATGATTCTAAAAAAAAATGGTCAAGTCCCCTTTAATTAAATGTGTGGGTCACAATCAACTGTATTCTGCACATTCCAGGGAAGGCAAGTAAATGCTCAGATAAGGCTTGAAAAGGTAGCATTGTTGACAGACATTGAAATAGAAAACTGACCCAAGAGATGAAACTGAGGAAATTATGCAAAGCAAGGGGACTGACGAGTAATAAAATGAAGAATAAAGAACAGAAGGAGCATCTGATCTGAGTTGGAGGTAGCAGCAGCAAACAGAGTTGGACTGATGATACCAACAACTAGAAGGAAAATTCATAGCAAGCCTGCGGTGGTCACTCTGTGAGAAGCAATTTACTTCTAACTCTGGGCCCCTAATGTTAGCTAGGTGGACTTTTGGATACAGCGATAAACCTGGAATCAGGAAGACTCCTCTTCCTTAGTTCACATCTGTCCTCAGACACTTACTAGTTGTATGACCCTGGGCAAATCACTTAACCCTTTTTGCCTCAGTTTCCTCATCTGTAAAATAAACTGGAGATAGAATGGCGAACCATTCCAGTATCTTTGCCAAGAAAACCCCAAATGGGGTCATGAAGAGTTGGACATGACTGAAAAACAATGCAACAACAACTGGGCCTCTGAGCCTTTGGGAAATGGTAGCCAGCTGGAAACATTTCAGAAAGAAGCCACCTTGTCGATTAAAAGCTGGAAAAATCACTTTTTGAAATTATCTTGTCACAGTTGGGAAGGCAGGATTATTGATAGGTAGAATAGGAAAGTGGCAGCTATTGGTAAACACTCTGATGAGGCACCTGACCCCTTCCCCGCTGAGACTGCCAATCTACAAAAGTAGCTGTGACCCAGACTTTTAAGAATCTTTATTCTATGAGGCTGTCTATGTAGTCAGGAGGAAGAGTAATAGAACCAGACAGACCCTGTCATTCCCCGTGAAGTTCAGTGTGATTTCTCAGCACCACCCTCCCCCCCTCACCCACTGCCTTGTATCTCTTTCTTCCAATCAGCTAATAAACTTTTATGCTATTTTTTGAAAATCGCAGTCAATTCTTCTATTCCCACTGGTTGTAGTTCATGGTTACACAGATGTTTGGACTAGAGTAATTGGCATTTAACCTTGGCTACCTTAGAACAGATCACTAATTGTCCTAAACTGATGTCTAATCATGTCACTTCCCGGCTAAATAAATTCTACAGACTTCCTACTGACTTTTTGGTAAAATATTATTTCATCTTTGACTCCTCTTTTTAAAAACATATTTTTGTTTAAGTTTTATGCTATATGTAGTTATCAATACAGTAGTAATGTGAATATTTATAAAAATAAATATATACATATTGGGTTTGCTCAAAAAATAACTTAGTGGGTGAAGAATCAAAACAGTTTAGAAGTCATTGGTATAGAAGCCTTGAAACCTTTGATAAAAGTGAACAAATAGAGGAACTAAGTTCATATTCCAGTTTTGCAGCTTATAAACTGTAAATTATTAGGAAAGTCACTTAATCATATATTCATGTTATACTTCCAATAATTTTTCCAAGTGAAATTCTCTGCTTAATGGTGTAAATTCATATTTAATTTCACCCCACTGCTGCAAACACACCAAAAACAGCTTTGTTAATTTCTGAAATATGCATTTCTTCTCTGTATTAAACTTATAATAAGAAAAATGTTTCATTAGATATTTGAAAGAAATTAGGAAGTGTGTTAATTTTATAATTGTTGAATGATGAATTAAAGAATTAAAATTTCATTCTTAAGAAAACAAAACAAAACAAAACAGAACAGATTACTAGATGGAAGTTACCATATAGATTATCTTATATCTCCCTTCCTCCCTCCTTCAAGAAGCCTTCTCTAACCTTTTACCCCATAAGTGATTTTTTCCCACTTTCTCTTTTCCTGTAGTGCTCTGCTAAGGCTTCTTTACTTCTCACAAATAATTATGCATATATACATATGGGTATATCTCTACGTATATGTGTGTGTGTGTGTGTGTGTGTGTGTGTGTGTGTATATATATATATGGGATATATGTGTGTGTTTCTATGTATGAATATGTATATATGTGTATACATATGTGTATATATGTGTGTGTATATACATATGTGTGTATATCTATCTGTAGATAGATATAGGTATCCTCCCTTTTAGACTGTTAGCTCTTAGAAAGCATGGTCTATGTCACAACTGTTTCTGAATCCTCAGTGCTTAGTATGAATCTTGCATACAGGAACAAGATAAATATTGAACTAAGTTGAACTGCCTTCAAAATTGTCCTTCCCCAGAAGGCGGGAAGCTCTTTTATTTTTAAAACCTTTTTTAAAAAAGTACACTTAATATCTTCCCTTAGTAATCCATTTCAATATTTAGTAATTATCATTGTCATGGATTCAGGATTCTACTAACTGGTTAAATGTGACTTGATTTCTCTGGGGCATCCTCAGTAAAATGAAGGTATTGGTTAGATGATTTCACAGTTAACCTAGCTCCAACATTATATATTTTATGCTTCAAAGCCCATCTTGGATTACAGCTCTCCCAGGGTCTGAAAGTTCATCTTTCCAGACTTAGTTCATATTGCTTCCTTTTATACACTCTATATTTAAGCAAACTGACCTATTTGCTGTTCTTCACATATGGCCTTCCATTTCTCACCTCAGTGCTTCTGTGCCAGAAATGCTCTCCTTTCTCTCTGTATCTTTGAATCCCTAGCTCCCTTCAAGGTTCAGCTTAGGCACCACCTCCTACAAGAAGCCTTTCCTGATTCCCAAGATTTTCTGTACTCTGCCCAGCTCCCAACATTACTCTATGCTGTACCTGTATATCTGTTGTATTACTTACTCCAGGAGAATGTAAGCTACCTGAGGGCAGAGACTGCTTGTTTGTTGTTGTTTTTTTTTTTATCACTAGAACCTAACGTATCTTGAATTTGGATTTTAGAATCATGGATTTAGAGTTAAAAGGAACCTTAGGGGTCACCTAGTTCAATCTCCTCAAAAATGCCTGTTAAATTGAACAGAATTAAATTTTTAGACCACTTGTGTTTCATATAAAATGTCTGGGATCCCACCCACAGCAATGCTAGCTTGGTGGGAAAGGAGAAGATCGATAGGAAAACTTGGCTCTTGTAGAAAGTGGTATTTGAGTTATGTCTTTAAAGAGGCCAAAGATGTCAAGAAAATCGACATTGAAACTTGGCTCCAACCTTCAAAAGGCCAGTGAGTGTGGAGTTCCTGTTTCTTTAGTCTTGTGAAACAAAATACATCTTTTCAACATACCACGTTCTTCAGGAATCCTTCCGGATCCCCCAGTCACTTGAGCCTTTGCCTTCCATCCACTCAGTCTGACATCTGCATATATCTAGTTAGTTATCTTCTCCATTAATATTTAAGCTCTTTGAGGGCAGGGACTTTCTAAAAAAAATGCTTTGCCTTTTCTTGTATCATCGACGCTTAGCACAGTGCCTGATGCATAGTAAGCACTTATTAAATATATATGCTTATTGACTGATTGATTCAGTAGAAGGTTGTGCTTGAGCCAAGTTTTAAAGGAAACTAGGAATTTCCTTTCCCCATAGCAACCTGATAAGGTAAATAACACAAATAAATATAATTTCCGTTTTAATAACTTAATATTTTAAAATTTAATTTAATAATTTTTGCTAGTGCTATAATGTTTATAAAATGTCAAGAGTTGGAGATGAGGAGGAAAACCATTCCAGGCCTAGAGGACAACCAGTGCAAAGCCCCAGAAACAGAAGATGGAGTGTGCTGTTCAAGGGCCAACAAGTAGACCAGTGTACCAAGATGTCAGAGTGCATGGAAGAGATGCAAGTATAAGAAGATTGGAAAGATAGGGTGGGGCAAGTTGGGAAGGACCATAAGTGCCAAACAAGAGGAGTTTACACTGAATCCTGGAGGTGATAGAGAGCTCAGAGGAGTTTATTGGGCATGGTCATATGCTCTTGCTCTTGGGAGGAGAGGCTGGTTTTGTTTGCATATTTACATCCAGAAACCTGGCACACAGTTACTATGGTTGTTTGTCCTTTGTTTTTGAAGAGAACCAATGACATCGTGGGGTGATGTCTTGACTTGTACTTGAATTGGATTTAAGTGAGGCAGAGTTGTTCATCAGCTTCACTTTCTTTTCCAGAGTCATCGAAGTCCAGCGGTGAGACAAAAGTCAGGACAACTGGCAATGGCCTGGGATGCAGTGGATGACATCTTTGATGTCTGACCAAGCTCTAAGCTCTCCGTGGCACCTGCTTTAGCCGCCTTCATGGCCGTTGGAACAAAGCTCGTCTGCTGCCCATTCTGCCGGAGAAAGTCTTCACATTCTTAAAGTAGACATCCCCCTAAGTCACTGATGGGTTTGAGGCCTGTCACTTACCTTCAACCTGGTTTAGCCCATCTGCTGATATGATTTACCAGGGTATGGACGCTGCTCATGCTACAGCTTCTTGGAGCCACAGATAAGAGACGCCAGACCAACGGTGGATGAGCAGCCCTGAAAGGGGCCCATCAAACCCTCACACCAGAGGGGCTAGTTCTATAGCACATACTAGGCACTGAATAAATACTTGATGATTGTTTAAAGGCACACACGCTGGTACTAGCACACCACTCCAAATCACCTTCTACTTATTTTGTGTCTACATATGTGTGTATGTGCATGCCTCTCTATATACACACAAAGTCTGAGGGCGATTTTCAACTTTAATAATAAGCTTAAATAGCTTAAACCTGCACTATGGCACTTGGGACACCCTGCACACACATACATACATGTATGCGTGTGTATATATGTATATTTGCATACATAGTCACATGCTTTCTCTCATTCATTAGTACATAAACTCCTTGAGAGTTAGCGCAGTTTTGTTTTTTGACTTTGTGTCTCAGTCACCTGGCACAGTATTTGGCATATAGGAGGTGCTTAGGAAATGCTTATTGGTGGACTGATTGAAAAACCTTTTGAACTATAAAGCAATATAGAAATGTGAGTTGTTATTTTTTATTATGCGCTAAATAAACAGGAACAGCAGGATGGAAATAGTACAATGACATATGACTAGGCAAAATAAAATATATCGTGAGGTGAGAGCACTAGACTTTGAGTTAGGAAGACTAGGGTTCAAATCTTGCTTCTGACACCTCAGCTGTGTGACCTTATGAAAGTCTCCTTACCTCTATATGCCTCAGGTAACTACTTTGGACTTTTTTTTTTGATAAGGCGTAGACAGGCTGATTTCTTTCTAGGTAGAGTTTACCATGCTGAAGAAATCACAGATCTTCCATCTGTCTGTATGACTGGACAGTATAGTATTCTTGTCACTGCATCTATCTGAACTTGTAATTTGTAATTTTTTTGTCTAAACTTGTAATTTCTTCATCATAGCAAACTTCAGGTGATAGATACTTAGCACTTGTGTGTTTCTGGGCAAGTGACTTAACTTCTCTAGGCCTCAGTTTTCTTAACTATAAAATGAGGGGACTGGACTTTGAAATTCCTTCTCGCCCCAAGGCTAAGATTCTATGATTCATCTACCAATAAGGAACCCATTCTGTGGTATACACTCTTAGAGAGCTGCTTGGGTCCCTGAGGTTGAGTGACTGACCCAGGGTTACATACTGTGAATCAAAGATAACCCTTGAACCCAGGACTCCCTAACACTAAAAGCAGTTCTCTTCCATTATGCCGTACTGTCTTTCAATAGTTAAGTCTATTACTACTACTAACTGTAAACTCTTTGAGGGGCGGAGACCAGGTCTAGTCTTCGAGGGCACGGGGCAGCTGCACTATCTAAGGAGTCAGACTGCTCATGTGCATTCGGTGGGGCTCAGCTTACCCAGGAAGTCATCAGAAGAGAGCCTTTCAAAATCCCACACTTGGAGAATAAGGTCAGCTGGAATTTTCCTCTCCGTCTTTTCTAAGGAAAAGATGTTTTCTCTTTTGGAGATGACCAGTTGTTTCTCAGCAGGGAGATACTGAAATGGAAACAGGAACCTCCAGTTGAAGTTGCCTTCTCCGGTCAGAGAGTTATAATGGACGTCGGTCTCCTGCTTGTCATCTTCCATGCCTTTTAACCATCTGTATGGAGAGAGCGAGTGAGGGTAAGGGAACACACGTTTATCAAATATCAACTATGAGCCAGGCGCTGTGCTGAACCCCTTAACATGTTGTCTCATCTGATCCTCCCAACAACCCTGTGAGGCAGCGGTCATTATTATCCCCCTTTTACGGTTGAAGAAACTGAGGCATATAGAGGTTGAATGACTTACCCAGGGTCACACAGCTAGTAAGGGTTGGAGGTTAGATTTCAACTCAAGTTTTCTTGACTCCCAGCCAAGAGTCTATTCACTATCCTACCTAGCTGTCCTCTGAGCATGACTCACTACGTCAGCTACCTTACTGGGCTTTAAAACATTTATCTGAATTTTCATTTGAAAAAGAGCATGTTATCTCCCTTGCCCCAACCAAAATAAAATGGGAATTCCCACAGCCTTGATTATCTGAAGACAGTAGCGATTACTTCCTGTCGACATGTTTAGCTGCAGACCACATTTTCTAGGGTGGGCTGAGGCTCTGGAAATTCCTGTCTGTCCTTTTCTAAAAGTTCTCTCTCTCTCAGGACCTGAGCCGTGATATTTATGTTGTTTGTCCTGGAAAGAACACTGGTGAAGAGTCAAATAAGCTGGATGCTCGCTCTGACTCTGACTGGCTTTGAAACTTTGAACTTTACTTATTTGATGCTCCCTGGGCCTCAGTTTTCTCATCTGTAAAAATGGGATAACTGTACCTTGGCTGGTGACCTCCCAGGGATGCTGTGCTGATCTAAAGGTCACTTACAAATGAAGAAACTGAGGCTCACAGAGGTAATTTGAGTTATCGTGGGTCAGACAGATACACATGGAGATAGGAGTAGAAGCTATGTCTCCTAACTCCAAATGCAACGGGGGAATTTAGAGCTAAGAAGACTTGGATTTGAATTCCATCTGTGAATGCTGGATGAGTGACCCTGAGCAAGTCATTTAACCTCTCCAAGTCTCAGTTTCCTCACCTGTAAAAGGGGAGTAATACTACCTGTTGCATCTGCCTCATGTGGTTGCTGTGAAGCTCAAGATAATGTATGTAAAGAACTTTGCAAACTTTAGAACATTTTATATTCTCAAGATTAGAATTTAACATAGTGTTTAAAGGGCTTTTAGAACTATAAAGTGATATTAAAGTAACATCATCATCATCAGTCATGTTGTTTTTGTGATAAACAAGCCTCTCATACTCTTCCAGATGCTAGTGTCTCCCCCTAGGCAGCTAGACAACGAGATGGTACAGTGAAGCGAGTGCTGGAGCTGGAATCAGGAAGATCTCAGTTCAGACTTGGACTTCAGATACTTAATTTGCTCTATGACCCTAAGCAAATCACTTACCAACTCTCCTCCTCACTTTCCTCATCTGTAAGATGGGGATAATAATAGCCCCTGTCTCCCAAGGTTATTGTGAGGATTGCACAAGATAATGTTTGTAAAGCTCTTGGCAAATCTCAGAGTATAAATGCTAGTTATTATGGTTAGGACAGCAATGTGGCACAGTGGATAGAGTGATAAGCCTGAAATTAGGAAGATTCATCTTCCTGAGTTCAAATCTGGTCGCAGACACTTACTAGTGACTCTGGCCAAGTCACTTACCCTGTTTGCCTCAGTTTTCTCATCTGTAAAACGAGTAGGAGAAGGAAATGGCAAACCACTCTGGTATCTTTGCCAAGAAAACCCCAAATGGAGCATGAAGAGTTGGACATGACAACAGCAAAAAGTGCTATGTTTGCATCTACTTCGATATGTACACACTGTATCTGCTATTCAAATATTTCTGGTCCATGTTCGTACCCTCAGCACCTTGTACAGAGCTTGCTACAGAGCAGGCACTTACTGTGCTCGTTGCTTGGTATTGTCTGCTAGTTTACTGGTTGATTTGCTGCTTCAAGTTATTTCTAATTTTGCAAGTAATTTCGTATTTCCATTCTGATCCTATGAGGATCTTGAAACAATGAGTCACTTATAACGTGGAATCGATCAATCAAGAGACATTTATTATGAGCCTACTGTGTACCAGGCACTGTGCTAAGCACCACGATGCAGAAGAGGCAAAAGACAGTCCGTGCCTTTAGAACCTATTGGGAGGAAATCTTTGGGAAGGAAAGAAGCTGCCAGCACAGTCTAGCATGAGATAAAGGTTCTTTCACCTCTTCTATTGAGTTTCCTCTCAAAGCTTCAGGGAAAGTCCTATAAACTTTCAGCTGCTACACTAAGGTATAAAATTTATAAAAATGCACACAAAGGGAAACAAAGCTGAGAAAGGGAGACAAACAGGTTGATTTTGTTACTACTATGTTAATAATATACAAATTAAAAATTTCTATGTAACAGAAATTCCTGGTTTCATATATAATCTTCTTTATCTGTGCATCCTGGTCTATTTGTGTTTATTGATGATAGCCAAATTCAAAATAAAACAAAAAGAAAGCTAAAAAAAATTTATGCCCCACCATCTGGGCATAGTATATATTATAACAATAAAGAAAAAGATGAGGTCTGGTTTTAATTTGAGTATTATTGCCTGTTATAAGATACAAATTTCTTTTAATCAAACACAGGACTGTCTTTCTAATTTCAACAGGGTTAGGAAGCTGGGGAAATCGGAATGTAAGTTCTAAGTGTTACTTTGTTGTTGTTCAGTCATTTTCAGTCCTGTCTAACTCTTCGTGACCCTATTTGGAGTTTTCTTGGTGAAGATACTGGAATGGTTTGCCATTTTCTCCTCCAGCTCATTTTACAGATAAGGAAACTGAGGCAAACAGGGTTAAGTGACTTGCTCAGGGTTACATAGCTAGTAAGTATCTGAGGCTAGTTTTGAATTCAGGTCTTCCTGACTCCAGGCCCATCAGTGCTCTATCAACTGTGCCACCTAGCTGCCCTCAAGCATTACTATATACCTATAATATATATATATATATATATATATATATATATATATGTAGCTGGGAGGGATTTTCATCTGACATTTTTACTAACTTGAAAAGATAAGCGTCTCACTTAAGCTTATCAAGAAATGGAGTATAGTCAAGTGTTCAAAGTGGATGTTTCCTGTGAGGTAGTAACCGTCTTAGAACAAAACAAAACAAAACAAAACAAAAAAAGAAGAGTAGACATTTGCTTAAATGAACTTACCCTTTAACATAAATGTCACTAGATTTTTGTCCCGTGAAGATATTTTCATCCTCCAAAATGACATCTTCCGTATTCCAGATTATTACTCTCAATTCATAACTGAAACAGGGAGAAGTCAGCATTAAGTTATAGACAAGACACTTTATGTCACAGGGCGGAAAATACTTGATCTGAAATTGGAGGATCTGGGTTCATAACCAAGCTCTTCCACATATTAATTGTGAGAACTCGAATGAGTCATTCAGCCCCACTATCCCCGTCTGCAATAGTTAGCAGTTATATAGTGCTACGAGGGCCACAACATGCTTTAGATAAGTTTTCTCATTTGATCCTCATAACTCTGCCCCAGGTAATTCTCTGAGATTATAAATTACAGGTGAATTGTTAATGTTTTATAGTAGTTTTCAAACCAGGAGTTTCTCATATTGATAAACAATAAGCCAGGACCCCCAAATTACTAACCTTTATTAATATTCTTCTTCCTAAACTATTTATTGTCATTGTTATTTGTCCTTCATTCTCAAAGAGGACCATGACATCAGGAAGGTGATGACATGACTTGCAAGTGAATTAGACTTAAGTGAGGGAGGGCTGGCAAAGTCACCAGCCACATTTTCTCCTCTGGAGCCATCAGGCTCTAGTGGCAAGATATATGTCAGGACAACTGGAAATGGCCTCTAAACCATTTATTATCAATAAATGAATCACAAGTCTAATCATAAAACCTGGTTAAATATTATCAATAAACCATATTGCTTTTAACAACAATTTTTGTTGTTGTTGTTTAGCTATTATCAGTCGCATCTGACTCTTCATGACCCTTTTGGGGGTTTTCTTGGCAAAGATACTGAGTGGTTTGCCATTTCCTTCTCCAGCTCATTTTACAGATGAGGAAACTGAGGCAAACAGGGTTAAGTGACTTGCCCAGGGTCAGCTAGTAAGAGTATGAGGCTGGATTTTAACTTGGGTCTTCTGAACTCCAGGCCCAGTGTTCTATCCAATGTGCCACTAATAAATGGTATCATATATAATCATGATTAATATAGCATAATGTCTTAATGTAGTATGGCATTTTATTACTAAAACATATTACTTCTAGTAAACCAAATTATAATTATGAAAGTCACATCATTACTAATTAGACTAATTAGGAATTATAAGACTTAGGGATGGAAGGGATGTTAGACAGCATCTAATCTAACTTCTTCATTTTTTAGATTAGTGGCTGAAAGGTAACATTTTGTCCAACATTCCTTAGAAAGAAAGTGGCAGAGCCGGAACTTGAAGTCATATCTTTTTAATCCAAATCCAGTTTACTTCATTATTATTCTTGGTCATCTTGTTATTTTTAAATATTCATGGACATAAGTGGCCACCATATCTTTACCAGTGCCCTTGCATACCTATTGCTTGATGTTTTCCAATAGATGGCCACTGCACCTGAAACCTACCATTCATATCTGTGTTAATTTGGTTCAGAGAGCCACAGTATTCCATTACTCCTGCCCCATCTACCACAACTACAAGAAGCAGATTCTGAATGAGGACTTGGTTGCTATTCACTACCATTATGGCCACCACGTTGCCATCATCACAAAATGTCAGCATGGTCTGGTGGAAAGGACAGTGGATTTGAAGTCAGAAGATGTGAATTTGAATCCTAGCTTTGCTAATTAATATCTATAGGACTCTGGGCAAATGACAAAACTTCTCAGCATGTTTCCTCATATGTGAAATAAGGAAATTGTTGTAGGTGATCTCTCAGTTCTTTTTAAGCTCTAGACCCTGAATTCTGCCCACTTTATGATCTAAATTCATAGCGATCTCTCTATGATCCACAGATCATCTGTGTGACTTGAAATAAGTCACTTTATTTTTTTTCTATTTTTTTTTCACCTGTAAAATGGGGAGGGTGGAACAAGAACCAGGAGTTATTAACCTTTTTTTGTGTCATCAACCCCTTTGGCAATTTGGTGAAGCCCATGGACTCCTCAGGATAATGTTTTTTAAATTCATAAAGTAAAATATACAGGATTTAAAAGAAAACCAAAGATTAGTGAAAATGAAGATGTATTTTTTTTCTAATCCAAAGTCATGGATCCATTGAAATCTATCTATGGACCCCATGTTAAGGACCCCTGAACAAAATAATTGCTAAGATCCTTATTAGCCTTAACATTCTACTAATTAAAATTTGATTTTTCAGTCATTTTCAGTCCTGTCCAACTCTTCATGATCTCATTTGGGGTTTTCTTGACAAAGATACTGGAGTGGTTTGCCATTTCTTTCTACAGCTCATTTCATAGATGAGGAAACTGAGGCAAATAAGGTTAAGTGACTTGCCCAGGGTCACACTGCTACATTTGAGACTAGATTTGAATTTAGGAAGATGAGTCTTCCAGTCACTCTATCCACAGCACCACCTAGCATAGGAAGTACCTGATGAGGAAACTCCCTCTAGCAATGAAGATGGGTACCTGCTTTGCAATTTATAGTCTTAGAGATTTGCCTGGGACACTGAAAAGTTAAGTAACTTACTCAAGGTCACATAGTCAGTATGTGTCACAGGTTGGATTTGAACCCAGGTCATCCTGTGACTGGGACTGGCACTATCTCCATTTTACCTTGTGGCCCCTATATGATGTGCTTATTTGGTGAAAACCACAGGCAGCTGGAGACAGTCTTGGAATGATTCCCTGACAAGGAACCTGATGTTGGCTGCCCTATACCTTCAGATTAGAAGGGGAAAATAAGCCCTTTGTCCCTCCTGAATGGCAACTAGGTAGTTCAGTGGATAGAGCACCAGGCTTAGAGTCAGGGAAGGTCTGAGTTCACATATGGCTTCAGACACTTGCTAGCTATGTGACCTTGGGCAAGTCACTTCACCCTGTTTGCCTCAGTTTCCTCATTTATAAGATGAACTGGAGGAGGAGATGACAAACCACTCTGTATCTTTGCTGAGAAAAACCCAAATGAGATAACAAAGAGTTGGAAACAACTGAAATGACTACACAACAACCATCCTCCTAAATACACTTAGATGGGTCCCACTTACATAAAGCTTCAAAGATCTGGAACTTGATCTGTATGGGCATGCCCTCTATCCATGAAGATGGAACCCCTGTAATGGTTTAGTAAGTTGTTTCAAAGGTAATTGTGAATTTTTTTTTAAATCAGCAATTGGTGGTCAAGGTGCTTGGGCTATACTTCTCTACATTTAGTTGTGCTTGACTTTGGATTGCAGATATGCAATCCATCATTGTAAATGTACTCATAGCCTTTTCAGCTTAGAAAGACCTGTAAGAGCTTGTATCCTACTCATGTAACTTTTGGGCACTTATGGTATGGGCACACCTTAGTGAGATAATCGAGGACTTTGGTTAAGGGCTATGGTTTTCTGAACTGGAAGATGAAATGGCAAGCTAGTGTATGCTAAACCAGTCTATGTAAGTTTATGCTAATAGCAAAACCATATTTTCTCCACTCTGGCCCACTACTACTGAGTCCTCACTATTACCCTCTAATCAACCACACGTGCTGTTTGGGTAGGGAATTTTTTGTTGAGTCATTTCAGTCATGTCCAACTCTTCATGATCCGATTTGGGGTTTTCTTGGCAAAGATACTGGAGCATTTTCCATTTTCTTCTTCAGCTAATTTTATAGATGAGGAAACTGAGGTAAACAGGGTTAAATGGCTTGCCCAGGATCACACAGCTAGTAAGTATCTGAGGCCGTCTTTGAACTCACAGAGATAAGTCTTCCTGACTCCAGGCCTGGTGCTCTATCCACTGCACCAGCTAACTACCCCAGATAGGGGATTTAGAACCTGTCAATGGAATGATATCTTTTCACAGTGAACCATCCGGTAGGGCCTGCCTTTCTTCCAAAGTACTAGAAAGAACAAAGCAATCCTTCTCAAGTTGATCCCCATCAATGGCAGTAATCAAAATCAAATAGAGTTATGTCAAGGGTATGTGAAATTTCTCTAGGAATATGAGGTTAAAGGGGAGCAGCTGAATCCATGGCAGCTTTAATTCTGTCATTGCTGTCCTAAAACATGATCTAAAGCTATAGAACCTTAAAGCTGGAAGGGAATTTGGAAGCATAGAATAGTTGGAAGGGACCTTAGAGGTAATCTAATCGTAAAATCATGAATCTAGAGCTAGAAGAGATCTTAGAGTCCAACCCTCTCATTTTATAGTTGAACAAACTGAGAACCAGGAAGATAAGGGGCTTATCTAAGACATATAAGTTCTGAGCATCATGGGTAAAATTTGAACCCACATCCTCTTTCTCCATATCCAGGGCCCATTCCACTATACTATACTACCTCCTACAAGCCCCCTTACTTTATAGGTGAGAACTTAAATTCCAAAAGCTCTTAATGATAGATATTGGCTATTATCTCATCTTCCTTGGTCAAATAATTTTTAGCCAGCAAAGCTTAATTGCCATTTCGTAGAAACCCATTTGATCCACCCAATCCAACCCATGATGTCTGTAGGATGACATTATTATCCCTTCCTAGTGGTAGGGTATGTAGTGCATTACCCTTTTGGCTTCCTTGGGGAGATGTCAACAGGTGGTCCAGGCTGGGGCATATCTTTGGAAAACATGTCTACCCACATCTGCAGGCGACCCTTTTAGAAGGAAAAACAGAGACCATTTACCTTCTGGAAGCTTACCATTATTAAGTTTAATGCATCACAGGCTCTTACAAGCCAGCATTTTTTTCAACTGATGATTGATGTTAGAGCTGAAATTTTCAGTGGGAATTAGAGAGTGAATAGAAATAGCCCTTTTCTTATATTATTTTATTATTCTGTGAAACTTCTTTACAATAGCAATATTAGGAGACAGAATGAATTTCTCCCCCTATATAGTTTTATATTAGACTTTCGCTATAGAGAGATTTAGGGAGGACAAAATATGACACCCAGGATTGTTGAATCCCATATAGTAAAAACCATATGAGAATGGCAAAATACTGTATTCCAGTGGGCATATTTCCCCTGGTGCCTAATTTCTTTCTAGAGATTAAGCAAAAAGCTTCACACTCACATTCTTAGGACATGAGGAGACCCTTCAGTGTGCTGCTGTAGTATATTCATCCGTCAAAAAGTAGTTATTGGATCTCTACCCAACACTTTGACAGGTATCAATCAACAAATCAGTCAATAATACTTAATAAATCAATAATTCTCCTATGTGCCAGATATCATGCTAGGTGTTGAGATACAAAGATAAAAATTAAACAGTCTCTTCTCTTAAGGAGAAAAGGTACTGCAAAGGATAAGAAGCACAAAATGAGATTCCCTCCCCTCAAGGAACTTATCATCTACTTGGGGAAATGAGATTAACACACATGAAACATAAGTGAAAAATACAGACCAGTGAATAAAGAAATGCTAGTAGTGTGTAACTGATGATTAGAAATTCATAGAAAATGGAGCTCAGCAAGGGCTAGGATAATCAGGGAAGGCTTCTTGGGAGAGGTGGGATTGAAATAGGCTGTGACATATGGGTAGGATTTTGGGGATGAGAAGGAATGCTTCTGAGTGCCAGGATACTGATGGAATTTGGGAGGTATAGCTTACTCCGCTCTCCTCCACCTCCTTTAACTGCCAGGATTGTTGTGAGCAGGGAAGTTGTGACACAGACCTGGGGCAGTTTGATATTAACTTTGCCCCCAGGTTGATTGATCTGGGACCCAGCTGTGCAAGAAGCAAATAGAACCAGTGTTGATGACTTTGGCAGAGAGCTCTTGAGACCCCAAAGAACATTCAGGCTGATTGCTTTTAACCTTCTTCCTGGTGACTTTTATCTTTTATATTTCTGAACTACTTTTAGGGAATGCTTTTACCTGAAGGTTATTGAATTTTTTTAAAGAGCACTGCTTGTTTGAACCCTTAAGTTCTAAGCGATCTATCGCTGTAGATCAGGGGTCAGCAAACTTTGGCCCATGGGCCAAATCCTGTTTTTGTATGACCTATTAGCTAAGAAAAATTTTACGTAAACAACAAGCAACTCTTACATAACTAATACAACTTTTAAATGAAGTTATATTTTGAAATGTAAGAACTGTTCTTAGCTAGTAGGTCCTCAGACACTTACTAAGCTGTGTGATCCTAGGCAATTCACTTAACCTTCAAAAAAACTAAATATTCTGGGGCAGCTCTAGGCAAAGCATCTGGGTCATCTTACTGAATGTTTTGGAACTGGGTCATTAGCAGGTTGGGCCATTATTTAAATGTATGTAGAGCCAAGTTTATGCCCAGAGAGTGTAAACATTGTAAACATTCATAACATAAAACATGCAGTCCAAAGGCTACTCAAGGGAAAAGAATGACAAGTTTTAAAGGGAAATTTCAACCAACAAACTACATTTCATAGGGCCAGACATGGTCACTTTCCTACCTGTTCCATTCCTGGCTTATCCTTGTGATACAGAGGTCGCGTTTCTATGTGTTCTGGAACGAGCTTATATCCAACCTCTGGGATTTTATCCCAGGAATGTAAAACGTTAAGTGCCAAGTGTTCATAAGATGCAACTGTCTCATCTAGATGAAAACAAAGAGAAAAAACCTTGAGGTCAATGTGTTCTTACATGGGGACACTGAAAGAACTGTTGTGGACATTTAAAGATAATTTAAATTAATAATTTAAAGATTAATTTAAATATAATGAGATTGGGAGAGCAAAAAGAGGGGAGTTAAGGGAGAGAGGGTGAAAGGAAGGGAGAAAGAGAAGGAAAATGAGAGAGGAGTGACCCCTCCCCAAAGCCAAACGTCCAGAACTGATTTCCCTGTACAAGAAAAACTCAATACTACAACAAACTCTAGGGTAAAGCTGACCTTGCTCACTGAATGGGTGCTGCTTCAGTCAAACTGAGACCTGTTAAAGACCTTAGCTCACAAAAGCTAAGGTCTCCCACTGTATCCCTGGCCATCTCCAGTCATCCTGATCCATAACTGGCCACTGGACCCAGATGGCTCCAGAGGAGAAAATGAGGCTGGTGATTTTGCACAGCCCCTCCTCACTTAAATCCAATTCACTTGTATGTCATGGTATCACCTCCCTGATGTCATGGTCCTCTTTGAGAATGAAGGACAAACAGCAGCAGAGCTGACCCTGCTAATAATTAGAGGCTGGCCATCTGTCAGGCCTTGGGAACTGGATCAATCCCTGCTTTGATAATCAGACAGGATAAGGATTTGTCATTTGCCCTTCTGCAACACATATAGCCCTTCTTCCTTCTCCTTTTTGTTCAGTGAAACAATCAACCACTGCTACTCTGAAACGTATGACAATTTAATGCCTTGGGACATTATATAATAGACCCTTGGGGTCTATGTCAAAGCTCCTTTGCCTAGTCTCCACTCTTCACTCCCTTTTGTCCATCCACATCATGTCTATCCCTCCCATGAACCTCTTTCACCTTGTTCTACCTTTGTTCCATGCCTTCTGTAACCCCATTCCACTGTTAACAAGCTCTCCTCTAAATAAGCTCTGTGCCATCAGCCCTTGAAATTATATTGCATATATTTTGGATTTAATTTTTTAAAATGAAATATGCAGTTTCCCCTAAAAAGAAGGCAAGGTCCTTGAAGGTGGGTTTTGCTTTGTTCTGTCTTGTATCCCCAACACCAAGCGTAGGCCCATAGGCCCAACACCTACCTGGCCCATAGCAGACACTTGGCAAACGCCTATTGAATTGAGAGTGGAAGAGAAGGTAAAAAGTGGGGATAGGAAAAGAAGAAAAGCAGAAAAGAGCTTAACTCATTTTGGCAAATAGTATAAGACTGAATGATGCATGACCAAGAATGGCCAGAAACATGGTTCTTATCTTAGGCAGGACTGGACTGACAGAGATTATTGACAACCTTAAGTGATTTTGAATAAGGCCATTCAGATGTTTGAGAACTAACTGAGGAGATCTCAAATAAGTGGGAAGTATTTCTCAGTGTTGAAAACACCAATCGTCGGTGGCAGATGAGGAAAGTGCCTCCAGATCTGTGCCTAGCCTGTCTGAATCTGGATCTCATTATGGGAACTCTAGGGAAAGTAGAACCCAGAAGCACAGGAGACCCAGCTCCTGAGCCAGTTAGTGCTGTGAATGAGGAAGATGATGGTAGGAGTGTGCCTCCCCCAGCCTGCATTTGCATGGTGCTCTCTCTTCCTTCACCATTCAGATTCTTAGGGCCCTTTCCTGACTAAGCCTGATCTCAGGAAAGGGACCCAGTATTTAACATTTCCAAGATCTATGGTTTCTTTTTTTTTTCTTCAAGAATTAAGCAATAAATTTTATTTGGAAAATATATATATGCAGCTGCCAGTATAGTCTATCTGATTTGTCTCCAAAGTAGCTATTATTTGAATTTATAGGTGGAAGGAACTGAGGCACAGAAAAGGTGAGAATTTTTATCAGGAGTGCATAATAAATACTTAATGTCAGGACAAGATTCATTCTCTGCCACAGGACAAGAAGTTCTCACCACAGTGATAAAAAGTTTAAGGATTTCCAGACAGCATATTGCCAGTTCAAATGAGTGAGTCATAATCTAGAAGTTGTTTTCTTTTTAAAAATTTATTTATTTTTAGTTTTCAACGTTCATTTTCACAAGATTTTGTGTTCCAAATTTTTTCCCCATCTCACCCCTCTCCCCCAAGATGTCATGCATTGTGAATAGCCCTTCCCCTAATCTGCCTTCCCTTCTATCAACCCCACCCTTCTTTTATCCTCTTCCCCCTCTATTTTCCTATAGGGCAGGATAGATTTCTATACCCCATTGCCTGTATATCATATTTCCCAGTTGTATGTAAAAATAATTTTTAGCATTTGTTTTTAAAGCTTTGGGTTCTAAATTCTCTCCCTTCCTCCTTCATTGAGATGGCAAGCAACTCGATACCCGTTATACATGTGTAATCATGCAAAACACTTCCATAGTAGTCATGTTGTAAAAAACTGACTATATTTCCCTTCATTCCATCCCACACCCCATTTATTCTGTTCTCTCTTTTGACCCTGTCCTTCCTCAGAAGTGTTTGCTTCGGATTACCCTCTCTACCAATCTGCCCTCCCTTCTATCATATCCCTACCTCTTACCCCCTTACCTCCTATTTTCCTGTAGAGTAAGATAGATTTTCATACCTGATTGTGTATGTTATTCCCTCCTCAAGCCAAATCTGATGAGAAAAAGATTCATTCATACCCTCTCACCTTCCCACATTTCCCTTCCAATGTAAAAGCTTTTTGTTGTCTGTTGTATGTGAGATAATTTACCACATTCTACCTCTCCCTTTCTCCTTCTCCCAGTATAATGCTCTCTCATCCCTTAATTATATTGCTTAGATATCACCCCTTCATCTTCAACTCACCCTCTGCCCTCTTAATACGCGCGCGCGCACACACACACACACACACACACACACACACACACACATTTTTCCCTCCAACTACCCTAATACTGACAAAGGTCTCGTGAGTTACAAATATCATCTTTCCATGTAGGAATGTAAACAGTTCCCTTATGATTTCTCTTTCCTGTTTACCTTTTCATGCTTCTCTGGAGTCTTGTATTTGAAAGTCAAATTTTCTATTCAGCTCTGGCATTTTCATGAAGAATGCTTGAAAGTCCTCTATTTCACATTTGAACGTCCATTTTTTCCCCCTGAAGGATTATACTCAGTTTTGCTGGGTAGGTGAGTCTTGGTTGTAATCCCAGTTCCTTTGACCTCTGGAATATCATATTCTAAGCCCTCCAGTCCCTTAATGTAGAAGCTGCTAAATCTTGTGTTATTCTGATTGTGTTTCTACAATACTTGAATTGTTTCTTTCTGGCTGCTTGCAATATTTTCTCCTTGACCTAGGAACTCTGGAATTTGGCTACAATATTCCTAGGGGTTTTCCTTTGAGGATCTCTTTCTAGAGGTGATCAGTGGCTTCTTTCCATTTCTATTTTACCCTCTGGTTCTAGAATATCAGGACAGTTTTCCTTGACGATTTCTTGAAAAATGATGTGTAGGCTCTTTTTTATCATGGCTTTCAGGAGTCTAACAATTTTTAAATTATCTCTCCTGGATCTATTTTCCAGGTCAGTTGTTTTTCCAATGAGATATTTCACATTGTCTTCTGTTTTTTCATTATTTTGTTTTTGTTTTATAATATCTTGATTTCTCATAAAGTCACTAGCTTCCATTTACTCCATTCTAATTTTTAAGGAAGTATTTTCTTCAGTGAGCTTTTGGACTTCCTTTTCCATTTGACCAGTTCTGCTTTTTAGGGCATTCTTCTCCTCATTGGCTTTTTGGACCTCTTTTGCCATTTTGGTTATGTTATTTTTTAAGGTGTTATTTTCTTCAGCACTTTTTTGGGTCTCCTTTAGTGAGTTGTTGACTTGTTTTTCATGATTTTCTTGCATCACTCTCATTTCTCTTCCCAGTTTTCCCTTTACTTCTCTTACTTGCTTCTCAAAATTCTTTTTGAGCTCTTCCATGGCCTGGGACTGATTTTTATTTTTCTTGGAGTCTTTGGATGTAGGAGCTTTGACTTTGTTGTCTTCTTTTGATTGCATGTTTTGATCTTCTTTGTCACCAAAGTAAGATTCTATTGTCTGACTTTTTTTGCACTGTTTGATCATGATCCCAGCCAATTATTTGACTTTTAAAGTCTTTGTTAAGTTAAGGGTCTGCTTCCAATGTGGAGAATGTACTGTCCCAAGCTTCAGGGGTTTTGTGCAGCTGTTTTCAGAGATACTTCTAGAGATCTGTAAATTTTCAGTTCTTCCAAGGTGGTGTGATCAAAGGCGAGGTATTTATTCCTTTCCTGGCCTGTGCTCTGGTCTATGATTGACCAGAATCACTCTTTTCTGCCTTGGAACTATGGGGAGGATTTCTTCTCTACCACTACCACAAGCTCCTCCTTGCCCCAGGACCACTACTCAGAACTGCAACCCAAATCCAAGCATGGGCAAAGCAGAGAATCCTGCCTCAGCACCAGCAGAGAGATCCTTACAATCCCCCTCTGATCAGCCACTTGATCCTCCCCTCTCTGTGCAAGCTGAAAGCTCCAGAAGCAGCTGCAGTGGCACCACAGTACCACCCCAGTCCCAGCGCAGCACAGCCTCGGGGCTCCTCTCTCATGGTGGTCCCACAGATCTTTCCTACTGACCTTCTAAGTTGTCTTTGTCATTTGTGGGTTGAGAAGTCTAGAAACCCCCACAGCTGCCCCCGTCATTCAGTCCCCTGAGCCTTCTCTGGGTTTGCTGTGGCCTGGTTTTTGTGCAGCCCATGCTGAACTGCGCTCCTCTCCCAGTCCAGTGCAACAGACATTCCTAATCAACCAACCAGGTTGTCTTGGGCTGGAAATTTGTTTCACTCTGTCTTTTTGTGGGTTCTGCTGCTCTAGAATTTGTTTAGAGCCATTTTTACAGGTATTTGGAGGGGTTTGGGAGAGAGCTCAAGCAAGTCACTGCTTTTACTCCGCCATCTTGGCTCTGCCCCCAATCTATGATTTCACTGGTGTGATTAGTTACCCAACAGATGCAAATCACAATGCATACTCCTGCCCCCCCCTTAAATTTAGCAGACAGTACTTACAGTCAGAGTAGTAGCAGACATATTACATTTAAAGACATAAAATTCAGTCTGAGTTTCTATGACCAGAATTTTAACTAGGGTAGGGCAACTGGGGCTTTGCCTAAGGGGCACTAAAATTAAGAGAGTGCTAACAGCCCTTAGGAACAAATGAGGTTGGTCCTTAGTGATCAAAAATCGTTAGTTAAAAGTAGAAATTCCTCCTTTACTCCTGTTATTATCCTACTTCAGGTGTATTCTTCCCTAGTCTAGCCCCATTCCTTTTTCTCCTTCTTAGATAATCTCCAAAGTAGCTGCATCATGGTGTGCCTGAGCTTGCTTTCCTCTCTTGGACAACAATACCTTAGGTGAATTCATCTCCATCCCTCACCTGCTTCATGCATAAAAATGTCTAGTTATGCTTCTGACTGTGGCCAAAACATTCATCCCTAAGCTATTAATGAATCTCTCCAAACTTAGCTAGGCTGATCCTCAGAAACAGATATATGGCCCTCCTCTGGTTCTGTACTCAAAGCCTTTCTAGCTTAGTAGGACCTGCCTACCAGTTGTGTAGAACTATGCCCTCTGTTTTGGCCTCTAAGTCCCCATGGTCACCTGAAAAGGAGATGAATCATAAAAGAGCATTTTCAGTAGAAGGTCCTAATAATCATCATGTATACCTCAGTATGAGTTCAAGTCACTGTGAACTTCAGGGCTGGGGATATTTGTGTCTTAAGACCTATCTTGAATTAAGGAATTACAAGCTTTTCCTCCAGTGAATGTGAAAAGAATTCTAAATATTAGTAAGTACATGGGGAAGACATATATTTGGGAACAAAGAGTACCTCTTGGAGCCCTGGGAATCACCCACCATGTAATAATTACTAGCATTTGTATATGTCTTTAGGGCAGCTAGGTGGAATAGTGGATAGATCCTGGAGATAGGAAGACCTGAGTTCAAATATGACCTCAGCCACTTACTATGTTTTCTTGGGCAAGTCATTTAGCCCTGTTTGCCTCAGTTCTTCATCTGTAAGAGAAGAGAAATGGCAAACCACTCCAGTATCTTTGCCAAGAAAACCCCAAATAGGGTCATGGAGAGTCAGACACGACTGAAATGATTCAATAGCAAAGTATATATCTTTAAGGTTTTCAAAGTGCCTTACATATGGTAGTTCATTTGGTCTTCACCATAACCCTTTCAAGTAGGTGCTATTGTTATCCTCATTTTACACATGAGAAAACTGAAGCTGAGAGAGATCGTGTGATTTGCTTAGGGTCACACAAGGCAGGATTCAAACCTAGGTCTTCCTGACTCCAAGTCCAGCACTCTATCCATTGTTCCACCTGCCTTAATGTCCCTGACTTGATACTCCACCAACATGTAAGGCAAACTGAGCAAGCACTGATGAAGCATGTGCTATAAGCCAAGCATTATGCAAGGCACTGGACTCATGGACTTCTTCGACAATATTCTATCTCATAGTCCCTTTCATGGTGCTAAAATAGCAGCCTTTTCCCTCAATCTTGAATTTCCCTAAGTGATTCAAAGGAAGAATAATAACAGAAGCAGAATACACTTTAAAATAGTTACCAGTGCCCTCCTCGGTGAAGACTGTTTTCCCAGAGAACACCTGGTTTCCAACCTGGATCTCCCCAGGTCGAAAGTAAGGGCCAGTCAGCTTGTTGTCTTTGCAGAGCTTGGTGAGTATTTCAGTGGGTTTCGATGTGTCCCTCCAGGCATTGTAACCTTCTCTGTAAGAGAGAGGAAAAAGGACATGAAGAGGGAGACCAAGCATCCCAGTTGATTATGACCTATTGAAACTAACTGCAGTTACTCATGGAGTCTGTGCTATTTGTCATCTTCATAGGTTTCAGTTTGCACTGTGTTTTTCCTTATTAGTATGACATAAAAAACCTGTCTGTGCATGATTCTGACTTGACTTGGGGCATTGGATCAACTTAGTGTTAAAGTCAATATAGATAGCTTCTTATTTGACTTTTTTCCCCTTCTAGGATAGCTTTTTAGTTGCCTGCTGCTCAAGGGAAAACCTCCATTTGCCCTTCTCATTTTATTATTTTTTTTGTCATAGTCCAATAGAGAGTGGCCAAATGTTGCCAATGGTTTGAATTAAAAACTAAATCAGGTTCATTTTTAAGTAATGGCCTCCCTGGCAGCTAGCTTTTAAGTCTCACAACTCCTTTCCCATCATTGCTAGACATTAATGGATTAGTTTGCATCCAATAGCCAACTAACAATTACATTTTCTAAATAGAAAATGGTGTTCAGAGAAGAGATCAAATACCTTTGCTCAATCATACCACTTTCTATTAAAGAGGTTTAAAGCTAAAAAATATCCCAAGCTACATCAGAACTTAAGTTGAAGGGGGAAAAACTAAATAGAATATAATATAGTTTTAAAAGAGGGACAGTAGTTTTTCTACTCTGGAATAAAGATAGAAGGGTCCTTGAGAGATCTTTCAAGTCACTCTTACCCCCATCCAAACTTCAAGCATGATTATAAGTAAGTCATTCCAATCAAACGACAATTTATCTTGTTTTAATAAAACTTTAGAGAAGTGGAAATTTATCAACTTTCTGGTCAAACCACTCTGATACTTAACAACTCTGTTAGGAAATAGCAATTTTACAGATTATCTTGATTGCTTCTTAATGTCTCATAATAGTAAGAGCTGACATTTATATAGAATTTTAAGGACTATAGAACTCTTTACATATATTATCTGTTATTATTGTCATCATCTTATTAGTTTTTTAGTGGCAAGAAATAGTCCAGGTCCAAGTTACTGTCCTAATATTATTCTTTAATATTGACTTTTGTACAGATTATTGTCCAGGTGGACAAAATAACTGAATTTGTAACTGAATAAATCCAGTAAGATATGTTTATCTTCTGTTAGTTCATGAAAGCATCTTAGGGCCAACTCCAATAGCAGACAGAACAATAGGGATGATATTTACCTCATCTTGTTCCTATGTGGTTTGTATTTGCATGGTACCATGGGATATAAGTACTGGGGACTTCCCCCAACGAAGTCCCCAGGGACTTTTCCTTTTTCAGAGGACCCAGGTTTCAACCCCACCCTTGCCACTTATGATTTGTGTCACTTTGGGTATTAACCTCCTTAGGCCTACCTTCCTCATCTGGAAAATTAGAGGATTGGATTATGATCCTATATTTTTCTACCAGATTTCTATATTTTGAAAGCTTTTCATTTCACATACCTTGAATGTTAGAAGCATTTGGCATAGTGAAAAATTTTCTTAAAGTGTCCAGCCTCTTCTGGGCAACAGTTCTTTCTATGATCTGGTATAAGTACAGTTTATGCGTTGAATTTTCAAGGATCATTTGAGATCTGTATGTGTAGTAGTTATAGGGGAACTTATCTGCTAGTTTATGAAAGATAGTAATCTTCTGATATATAATTTTGGCTGGGTATCTATTAGATTCTCAAATCTTTAGGAATATGTTGCTGTTTGTACCATTTTTTCATAATCTACATTAATCAATAGTCTAAGTTCTTTAATGATAACCTTCCTGAAGTTTCTAGTGGCAAAGACCTTATCCTGAATAGCTGTCACACTCTCTCACCTCTTTCTGTAAACACATCCACATGTTTAGACATCTGTTCAGTACTTCTTTCTTGACATATTATTGGTTGAGTTTTATTTATATCATCATCGTCATCATCATCATCATCCCTAACTCCAAATTTCTCTTTTGTCACAAATGCTTTCCCCACCTTGTTTCTTCCATAGAAATGGAGAATAATGGGTTACAATTCTCTGAGTAGGACTTTCAATTTCTTGCAAATCCTTATAAATCAGTGAAACTTAGGAGATTTTTTTTATCCTTTTGGTATTTACCCAGAACTTAACTACCTTTCTAGAGTCAGAGAGTAAAAAGATGGGAAGAGAGGATATTTATCCAAAAAAATTGACCATGGAGCTTTGATACCTGGGCAGAAGCTAGGGTGGGAATTTCATTACATTTTAGAAACAGGAGTATCAATGAGTATTTTTGTTTGTTTATTTACAGACCTGGCATTGTACTTGTCAGTAGCAGTGAGAAAGGGCTAGAAAGGTGATTAGCCTCAGCAAAATGGAAGACCTAGTATCTATCACTGAATAATCATTATTATAGGCCAAACCAAAAGCAGATTCAAGGCTTAAAATAAAATGTGGAGAATGGAAAAAAATGGAAACTGTATAGAAAAAAAGCCCCATGGTTAGGACCAACTTAATATAGAATATAGAATTATGAAGAACGATTTCAAATGTAAAAGGATATAAATAAACTTCTACCTCATAGTCACCTCAGCAAACAATCATCTGAAAAGGAAGACATTCTCCACAGAAGTAGCAATAACTAAGGTGAAGTTCCAACCTCCATGTTCCCCCAAACTAATCTCTTTACACCTAAAGCAGTTGAAACCTCTTGCTTTTATAAGGAGCTAACCTAGTTTACTTGCTGCTGGTGCAACTACAGAGTATATGAAGCTCTGGGTGTAGTGGCAGAGAAGAAAGAAAAGACAGGTGAGGGGACAGAGACAGTTATTCATCCCCAATAACAACCCTTTCACACTTTATTCTCTGTCCACATAAAGCCAGGATAGTTCTTACCACAACTATCATCATTATTGTTGCTGACTGCTAGCCATTAGCTTACTAAGAGGAAACTTACCTTTTAAAGGGACATAAGGTATCCCATTTGCAGATGGTTTCACAGGCCCTGTCCATGGTGCTGAAGCAAAGCCACCTACCATTGCCACCCCAAACCAAAACTTTCATTCAACTTCAACGGACCAGAATTCATTGACTCAGCACTACTGATCCAAGTTCTGTTTGAGAAGTCAATATCATGGCTCCTTAGTTAGCTGTACTTTTCCAACACTTGAATCATTTCATGAACAAAACCCAGAGAATCGAAGGCTGTGGCATAGAAGTACAAAAGACCTAAGATGTGTGTTGTGGGGTGTGGGGGCAGGGTGGGGAGCTGTGGAATGGGAGAAGGAAAAAAACTTACATCTCATACTGGCTCTGTAAGCCACAGATTGCTCGGTGCTTACTGTAGAATCGGTTCTCCAGGTCGATTTTGGTCTCTCCAATGAGGTCATCTGACCCAATCATGTCATGGTCATATATGCGGACTGTGAGCAGAGTCTCTTTAGGAAATGTAGCCTGAATCTCAAATGATCTAGGGCCCAAGCAGAGATTTAGTGATCCAAATGAGATTGATGGTTGGTTACAAACTCACATTTATGTAGGTTTAAAAAGCACTTTTAAAAAAATATCATTGTTAGGTACATAGTATATAATTCTTATTTTATAGATAAGGAAAGAGGTTCAGAGAATTTAAGTGACTTGGCCTAGATCACACAACCAGCAAATGTCAGAACTGTGATTTGAATCCAGGGCTCTTGCCTCTTAATTCCAGTATTCATTTCATTAGACCATATTAAAATCACTTCATTTAACTATTTGTATCAATAGGGCAGCTAGGTGGGAGGTACAATGAATAGAACACTGGGCCTAGAGTGAGTTCAAATCTGGTCTTAAACACTTACAAGCGATATGATTTTGGGCAAGTCACTTAACCTTTGCCTGCCTTAGTTTCCTTATCTGCAAAAATGGTTTAATAATAGCACCTACCTCCCAGAGTTGTTTTGACGATAAAATGAGATAACTACAAAGCACTTAACACAGTGCCTGGTACAGAATAAGCACTTTATAAATGTTAGTTATTATTATTATCATTATCATTATATGATTCCTAGGAATTGGATCATGGAAGAGGCAACGTGGAATAGTGAGTAGAAAGTGGTTCTTAGAATCAAGAATATTTAGGTTCAAGTCCTAACTTGGACACATATTGAGTGTGGACCCCTGGACACGTCACCTAACTTCTTAATGCCCCAGGCAATTCTCAAAGAAAAGGGACAGAACAGTCACCAATCTATATTGGTAGAGGGAGATGCCTCTTCAGAAGTTCCCTTTACCAATAGAATCACAAACCCAGAGCAAAAAGAAAAAGAAGGAAGGAAGGAAGGAAGGAAGGAAGGAAGGAAGGAAGGAAGGAAGGAAGGAAGGAAAGATGACACATAGTTCATATTTTGAAAAAAAATCCTGAGATTTATCTTTATAAGATTTAAATCAATTTTCCATTTTTTTTCTAAATGAATTATCTAATGCTAATTTTAATTACATGCATAGTAGTCTTCCTTTGCCAGTGGGATATTATCTTGCCACCCTTCAATATTGTGTGCTCAGAAAATGTAAACTAATATTGCTATTTAACAAAATTGAACATAATGAGGACAAAATAAGAACAATAAAGTAAAGGAGCTTTAAGGCTATAGGGGATCTCTGAGCTCACCTGGTCCAAACCATTCCCTTTATAGAGGAGCAAACAGATTTGGACAGGTGAAGTCCCACATTTGGTGCAGAACCTAAACTAGAAGCCATGGCTCTGGATTCTTATTCTAGTGTTCTTTCCACTGTTAGGCTGCATGCATATAATGCTTTCTAATATAATGGAAAGGTTTCTAGATAATCTGGCTTCTTCCTCAGCATGCTGTGAGACTTGACCAGGCTGCCACATACACTGCCAGACTTACTTAGTTCTGACATAGCAATTTCCACTTGGAAAGGGTTTTAGAAGCACATCATCCCCGAGAGACCATTATCCTTCCTGTATAGATGATGAAGCAGAGAGATGGGACAGTTTCAGTGATTATATCTGACTTGAGGTGGCTCTCGCAGGTCAGGGGATTGCTGAGGGAAGAACTTAAATGTTCTATCTGTCCAATCATCAGGCTATTGTCTCCCTTTGGGATAATGGATTTAGGGTTCCCCAAATAGGGCAGTTAGAAGTAATATTCTATAGCCAACCCACAGGTAAGACTCCCACAGAATTTAGAGCTTATCATCATTATTTCTACCACTATCACCATCACTGTAAGGGTCCTAAAACCACCTATTAAGGGGATCTTATCACAGTGGGAATGCTAGGGAGAATAAGGAAAATCTCAGAAGGTATTGTCAAGGATACAGTTGTAGGTGACTTTCTGATATAGAATTATTGCTGCTTAATCCTTTAATTTATTCTGTCCTTAAGAACCTAAGCAACTTATAGCACATCCCACTGCATGAGTTCTCCAAAGGATGTACAAAGTACAGGGGGAAATAAAGACAAAGAAAAAGCTACTCGGGTAGCCAGACTTCCCATATGTACTATATAGATATAGCACAAGATTCATAGTAATGGAATCCCTTAGGACTGGACACTCCCTCATTTAAAATATTGATTACAGGCACTGTCAGAGTGGAAGAGAGATTGATGTTCTCTTTAAAGCTATTGGTAGCAGTTTCTGCCTTCCTTCTCTTACATCTCAATTTCTCTACCCTATAATAATGTTCATTCATTCATTCATTCATTCATTTATTCATTCACTTCCTCATTCATTCATTCATTCATTTATGTATTTAACAAATCTTTTCTGAGTACTATGTGTAAGACCCTGCAAGGGACAAAAATGGTACAGTAGAAAGAACTTTGCATTAAGAGTAAGAGGATCTGGTTTTGTCAATTACAGCCTTTCTGACTTCTGAACAAGTCTCTTTGCCTCTATGTGCCTCAGGAATTTCATCTATAAAACAGGAAGTTAGACTTATTATTTCTAATGTGCTTTCCACCCCTAACTTAATAACCCTGTGAAAAATAAAACATGACCTCTACAATCAATTCAAATAAATTGAACTGAATTCAATTGAATAAATGCCTCATATTCAAGGCAGCTAGGTATTGCAGTGGATAGAATGCCAAATCTGGAGCCAAGAAGACCCATCTTCCTGAGTTCATTTCTGGCCTCAGGCACTTACCAGATGTGTGACCCTGGGCAAGTCACTTAACCCTATTTGCCTCAGTTTCCTCATCTGTAAAATGAGCTGAGAAGGAAATGGCAAACCAAACTACTTTATTTGCCAAAAACCCCAAATGGGGTCACAAAGAGTCAGACATGACTGAAAAATGACTAAACAAAATACAGTGTATATGTGTGTGAGAGTAACAGGTAAGTGCTTACTTTTAGGTGCATTGTACTAGCTAGGTGGTATGTAGTTCTGAGTCTCTACCTTTTGGCAACATATGGTGTAAACACTGTCTGGTTTCTTCTGAAATCCAAAGGGAGTATTACCCTTAAAGCATTATTTGAAAGGGGCTTTCAACCACCCAGGGTAAGTGCAGCTAACATAGGCTTATTCAGGTAAATCATGCTCCTTAGAGCTTATCTCCAGAAATGATAGCAGTTTGAGGAGTTATAATGTTCTATTAAAAAAAAAAACAATACAATGGCTCAGATATGGAAGTTATAGGCAGATAGATCTTAGTTTGATATTAAAAAGTACTTTATACCAATTGGATCTTTTTAAAAAATGGAATGAACTACCTTGGAAAGTAGTAAATTCCTCATCATTGGATGCTGCCAGACAGAGGCCAGAAGACCATTTATTCAGGATATTTTAGAGGAGATTCAACTTTCAGACTGGGGTCAGACTAGATGACCTTTGAGGTCTTTTCTTACTTGGAGATTCTATGAATCTCTAGTTTGCTTGACAATATGGTATAGTAAAAAGGGCACGGAAGAACACCAGAAGGCCTAGGTTGAATCCCAGTTCTGCTCCCTATTATCTTTGTGACTTTGGTCAAGTCATTTCTATTCTTTATTTCTTGGCTTCTTCATCTATAAAGAAGAGGGATTTTGGACAAGAATGATCTCTGAAGTCCTTTCCAATGTGAGATTCCGTAGTTCTATAGATGCAAATATCAAGGACCTCCAATTTTTATGTAACATCCTAGTATGGCCCACCATTGATAATTTAGTGATACATAAGTCGATTTTTGGGAGCGGTAGAGGGGAAATCTGAGGACAATGAAGAGATTTCGCTCCCCCCTCATAAGTGGCAGGAATGTGGTAATCACTATTTACCACAATAAGACTATAGAAATTTCTTCCATAAGAATTGGTTAGAGTCTATAAAACAGTCTTACCGACAACTGGTTGAAGGGTTTGGTAGGTAGGTAGACCTGACTAATATCATCTGATGAATCACAGAATTTGAAAGTTGAAAAGAGGCCCTGAGTGGTCATCTAGTCAACTGGGATAGGAAAGCAAGAAGTCACCCAGCTTCTGCTTGAAAACCTCCAAAGAATACTATTGTGGAATATTGTTATGTATATGAAATGATGAGCTCAATGATTTTAGAAAAACATGGAAATGTTTGCACAAAATAATGAAGAGTCAAATGAGCAGAACCAAGAGAACATTGTATACAGTAACAGCAATATTATTTTAAGAACAACTTTGAGCAATTAAGTTATTTTGTCTATTATAGATACCCAAATTAACTATTAAAGACTTATGAAGAAAGATGTAATCTGCATCCAGAGAAAGAACTGATAAATAGAAGTATGTATAGGATGATTTTACTTACAACACACACACACACACACACACACACACACACATATTTGTGTCGAATGGTAGCCATCTCTAGGGTGAGGGAAGAGGAAGAAAAAAAAGAATTTACCTGATAATTTTGTTGTACATTTGAAAGGAATAGCAAGTTGTGCATAAAGCATTTGAAGTTTTATGTACAATTATCTTTTTATTGTATTATGTTATATAAATGCTTGTTTTATTCCATAAATTAAAAATGAAAATTTGTAAATGTAAAAAAAAAATTAAAAAAAAGCCTTCAAAGAGAAGGAGCATAGCACCTCTCTAGGCAAGTCCTTACACTTCAAGAGTTTTTCTTGCTATGAAACTTAAATTAGCCTTTATAACAACCATTATTGCTCCTGCTCTGTCCTCTGGGACCAAATGGACTATGCCCTTATCAACATGACAGCCCTTCAGATAGTTTAAGTATTTGAAGGGGAAAAGATTAGGCTTTTTCCTTTTTGGAACGAGATGGCTCTGACACTCCTGTAAAGACAAAAATGTCAATGGTAGAATGTGTGCTGATGCTGGCTTGCACCTCCCTACCAAGTAATCTCAATGTCAGAATCCACCACAGGATCTTTGCTACAGGGAGAGTATAAATACTTAATTATTAATAAAGATGGCCCCTGGAATCACATCCCAGCTTTACTGCTGATGTACTTCATGACACAGAAAAGGCTACTACTACATTTCTGTCTCGGTTTCCATATTGTAAAATGGAGAAAATAAAGCTGACCTAATTCATGGACTGCAATAGGAAAGAGCTAATAAAAAGTGACTGCAGAGCACTTGGAAAATATTAAGTGCTTATTACATCAATGTTAAGTAATGATAAAGGTCATTCCTTGATGCAGAGAAATCATGGAAAGTTTCCCTGACATAGTGCCCATTGTATTTTTAATCATTCTCATTAATCTGAACAGGCCAGATCATTTATTGCTTCATTTTCTCTGGAGTTATATAATATGAAGACCTGATAGGAGATCAAATGTCAGAAAGCCCTAGGCTCTAACCAACAAGGAAAGGAATTTAAATAAGAGCTGACAACACAGAGAGAGTGGTCAGCATTTTTAGTTATGGAAGAAAAGGCACTCAATGTATCCAAAGTACATCTCCATTTACTTTTTAAATGACCCACGATTTCACTGATGAGGATATTCTTTCCACCGTTGCACATCAAAGCCCTCTGATAACTCAATACAGCCAACTTGGTCTCCAAACTTAGCTAAGCTTAGCACAGTGGAAAGAATCTCAGCTTTGGAGTCTATAGACCTGGGTTCAAATCTGAGCTCTGCCACCCACTGATGACTTCTGTTGTAAAATAAGAACAGGTTGGACTAAGTGACCTTTGATTTGAGTTCCCTTCTAGATCTAAATCTCTATTACATTTAACATGTAGCTTATCATAAGCAAAGTCTAGAGAACTGAAAGAGAGAGGGACAAAGAGTATAGATATATAGTTATGTACACATACTTTTATTATATATACACTTTTATAAATATATATTTATAATATATTATTTACTGTATAAAAAGGGCCTCAGAAAATATTTGGAAACATTTAGTCGCTAATAGTGAGAGATAAACAGAAGAAACAATTCAAAAGAGATGGATTTGGAAAGACATTTCTGTATTTCACAGATACATTCAGATGGATTATCTGAAAGCTTGTTAAAGATAACAAATAATCTGCCAGATTATTTGAATACAAATTCAGTGGGGGTTTTTTTGGGGTTTTTTTTTTTTGGCTAGGCAATGGGGTTAACTGACTTGCCCAGGGTCACACAGCTAGTAAGTGTTAAGTGTCTTAGGTCGAATTTGAACTCAGATCCTCCTGAATCCAAGGCCGGTGCTCTATCCACTGTGCCACCTAGCTGCCCCCTTAAATTCAGTCTTTTCTAATACATATAAGATATGTATTCTAATATGTATATGTAATATACACATATATTAAAAATTAATAGTTGTAGTGTGGAAAACATACTGTTAGCATATTTACAAAAAAGTCCCAAGTTCTTCAGGCTCCCCAGTAAAGAAATGGATTGGGTGTGGGGTAGAAGACTTGTATTCTAGTACTGACTATTCAAAAAAATAAAAAAAAAACCCAATAATAACAACAAAAAAAACCTGTATGATCCTGGGTAAATCACTTTCCTGTTCTGGGCATCAGTTTCCTCTGTAAAATAAAGGAGTTAGAGTAGACCTGAAAGAAGGTCTCTTTCAGCTCTGAGTCCCAATTGCCATGCACACCAGTATGTCACATACTAGCAATCTGAAACCTAATAAAAAACAAACTTAGAACCCCATGGGGAAGTCAAAACAGAGTCACTGACCTTCCAAATACTGGGTTAAGTTGTTTGGGAATATATTTGTCCCGGTCCTTAATTTCAGTTTTGCCAAGGTTTAGTACAATATAGGGATCAGATTTACCATCTGGATCAGCTGGGCTGAGGTTAAATGCCTGAGGAGGAAAAACATCCTTTAAATCACCTACTAATTTTGTATTAGGGTGATTTGCAGCTCCCATGGTTTTTTTTTTTATTTCTATGGATTCCATTTTCAGCCAGCTAGATAGAGGCTCCCATTCACTTACCCATCCATTTGGTCAGACTGAAGTGGGTGAATCCCTCAGCTGGTGAATTGGGTGGCTCACTGATGTTCTGTCTGTAGTTTCTGAGTTGAGAGTATGAGATACTGGGGAGAGCCCTAGCTGGCAAGTGAGAGTCTATGAGGACTAAACCTTAGTTTGAGTGGTGGGAAATTGAATGAAAGTATCACCAACAGCATCACAAAATGCTTCAGTCAGCACCTGACTTTTTACCATCCTGTTTTTCATATCTGGAACCTCTTCCCTATTGTGTTCTTATCTGAACCCTGTCCTGTAAGACTTAGATCAAGAAATACCTCTTCCTTTCGGACTCCCTTATGCAACTATTCACAAAAACCCCTCCTTGGCCAAAGGAATGGGGTAGCTCTCAAAATCTCAGAATCTCAGCACCATAGAGGTTATCTTGTCCAACCTGCAACTGAACAGTAATTTTCTCTACAGCATGTCCAACAAATGATGACCGAACCTTCACTTGAAACTGCTAGGTGGCACAGTGGAGAGAGAGTTAGACTTGGAGTCAAGAAGATAGGTGTTCAAATCAGTGCATGGCACATAGTGGGTACTTCAATGTTTATCAACCGATACTAGCTGTGTTACCCTGGGCAAGTCACTAACCTCTTTTAGCCTCAGTTTTCTCATCTGTAAAAGAGACAGTAACCTTACAGATCTGTGAGGATCAAATGAGATAACATATGTAAAGTGCTTTGAAAAGTTTAAAGAGATGTAAATGCAAGTCATTATGATAATTAGGCAGCAGGATGGTATCTTGGCTGGAGAACTTGAAACCATAAACACCTGAGTTCAAATCCTGCCTCAAATACTTATTATCTGGGATACCTGGGCAAGTCATTTAGCCACTGTCTGCTTCAGTTTCCCATCTGTAAAATGGGAATATTAATCACACCTACCTCACAGGGTTGTTGTGAGGCTCAAATAAGATAACATGCAAAATTATTTGCAAGTCACAAAGTGCTCTGTAACTGCTAGTTGTAAAAATAGTTATTATTATTGTTGTTGTTGTTATTGTTAAAGGCCTTAATTGAAGGGGAACTCACAGTTATACGAGGCAGTCCATTACATTTCTGGCTAGTTCTAATTGTTAATTGTTTAATTCTTGATTTCAAGACCAAACCTGCCACTGAAATTTTGTAATAATAGCTATCACTTACCTGGCACTTTAAGGTCTAAAAGTGTTTTACAAATATCATCTCACTTTACCCTCACAACAACCTTGCGAGATAGGTGTGATTAATATTCCTGTTTTACAGATGGGAAATGGAAGTAAACAGTGGTTGAGCAATTTTCCCAGCTCCCTCAGCTAGTGAGTGTTTGGGGCAGGATTTGAACTGAGGTCTTCATGACTCCAGAGTCCAGTACTCTATCCACTGTACCACCTAGCTGCATTAGTCACCTATTCCTCCCAGTTGTTGCTTCGGGGCCCAGCATAACAAGCCTAATCCCTCTTCCATGAGAGAGCCCTTTCAATACATTAAGACAGTCATTGCATTGCCTTTATGTCTTCTCTCCCCCAGAATAAACATTCCTAGTTCATTCAGGCGAGTCTGACCCACCTGAGCCTACAGGGGCCTCTTCCTCCTCTAAATTCCTGCTGTGCTTGTTATCAGTATCATTCATTTGATATTTACAGTTTGGAACCTAAGTGTCTTTAGTTATCTTTTCTGGGTTTCTTGGCTCTTCTGTTATATTCTCAGCTCATAGGAAGGGACAGCATCCCATTTATCTTTGTGTCTTCATGGCTCTGAACACTGTGCCTTTCACATTATCGACCCTCAATAAATAGTGATAATGATTCTAGGATCAAAGATGTGGAAGTGGGAGGGACTTTAGGGGTCATCTAGTGCAACCCCTGACTTTTACAGATCAGGAAGCTGCTGCCCCAAAGAAGACTTGTCCAAGAATACATCATAAGTAAATGTGAGGATAGCTAGTACCAGACCAGCAAATGGCAGAGCTGGTCCTCTCTTTCTATCTGTGGGTCTATCTCTGGGCCTATCATGACCTTCAGCCAATGCTCTGTACTACATTTTACCCCACAAAACATCTACAAATATGTAAGTATTTCCATTAAAATTATAATATTAAAACAAAACATGAAGAAAAATTTAGTCACATAGCAATATTTTTTCTTTTGGAAAAAATCCAGTAATGAACAAATCACAGCAATAATAATTTCATCAAAGAAAATGACAACAAAGAGACAACATACAAAAACTTTTGAGATGCAGCCAAAGAATCCATTCAGGATAAATGTATATCAGTAATGACTATTTTTAAAATCCCAGAATTTCTGAGTTGAAAGGGCTATCCGAGGCTATATCATTCAACTTGTACCCATCTGAAAATGATAGCTAACATTTACATTGTACTTTAAGGTTTGCAAAGAACTTTACATGTATTATCTGCAACCTTATGAGGTAGGTGTTATTACTATATCCATTTTACACGTGAGGACGCTGAGGCTGAGAGAAGTTAAATGACTTGCTTAAGGTCACACAGCTAGTAAGTATCTGAGACAGTATTTGGACTCAAGCATTCCAATTCTGGGTTCAGCACTCTATCCAAACTGGCACCTACCTCAATCATCTCTGTAAAATTGTCCATTAATATATACAATGACAAAAAAAGGAATGAGATCAGTTCAATAGCAAAGAATGGTCATTTTTGGTTTCTAATACAAAAGAAGAAGAAGAGGAGGAAGACAAGGAGGAGGAAGAAGGAGGAGGAGGAGAAGGAGAGGTTTTGCCTTAGTGGGAATATTTTACTGTAGCAGGTGGAATATACCAAGACATGAGTCATGGTAATCACTGGGGTTGTGATCACCACTACTTCATGGAGGTCAGAAATGTCTGTTTATAAACAAACTATGGTGCCCAAAGCTGGACCTCTTTTTTACGGTCAGGTAGACCAAAGCCCTTGATAGAGCAATCAGCAGTAATAGGTACTTTACAGGGTGAAAAACACTCTCCAGTGCCTACAACCCAAAATAAGATTGTCAGATGATCAATGGGCAAATACCTATTGAGCTCTGCTGTGGGAAATACTAAGCCACAGACTTTCAGCTTCAGAAAAGAAAGATGTGAATTTACGGAAGGATAACTAATACTGATAAATGCAAAATAAGAAATCCTGACAAGTGGTACAAGAGATCAGGTGAGAGAGGATGGAGTATGTTGGACTGGGGTTGTTAAACCCCACCTCCTGGAGGAGAAGACTCCAGCTTAGGGAGACAGAGTGATATTTTGTTTTTGCTCATCATCTTCTACTCCCAATTCCCATTCCTTCAACTGCACCTCATGTCTTCCTGCCTCTCTTGTCACCCAACAACACATACTTTTCAAGCCCTAGACATTTCATTGTCTTCCTCTACTGGCCAGCCAGGGGACCAACAGTGGGCAGAACGAAAGGGCCAGAGAATGCCACAGCACCATCCCTTAACCCTATCTGGGAAGCACTTTCATAGTCAGTCCTTATGGAAAGCCAGTGAAATACCTATCTTTGAAGGCCCAACCCCATCCCATTTCAGGGCTAGTGAAGAGGATTGCCTTACAGCAACAATATACACCCTGATCAGGACATTGATAGAGTGGTTGGGTGGAATCCCCTGCTGGATTCGAAGCTGCTCTCCATCCTCTAGGCTGGGATCTTCTGGACTTTTGTAAATGCAGAAGGAGCCCTATAAACACACAAAGTTAGCTCGATGAATAAGTGATAGGAACAATATGAATAGGTAGCATTTATATGGCACTTAAAGTTTACAAAGCACTGTTGTCTCATTTGATCATAGTAACAGTCCTGATTTGGGTGCTATTATTATCTCCATTTGCCAGGAAACTGAAGCACAGAGAGAAGGTATCTAATTTACCAAGAATCACACAATAGTGTCTGAGATGAGATTTAAATCCATGTCTCCCTGACTCCAAGTCTGACACTCTTTCTAATATGCCACTTTACTGCCTAAGAAATGTTTTTATACATTAAGATACTTCATGTTTCAATAATGCTTTAAGGTTAGAAAAGCACTTTTCTTACAATGACCTTGTGAGGTAGGCAGTGCAAATATTTTTAATCTCATTTTACAGGTGAAGAAGATGAAATTATGAAAGATTGAGTGACTTGCTCATGATTACACAGCTAATCAGCATCTGTGGCAAGATTCAAGCCTGAGTCTCCTCTTTCCAAGTCTAGTCCTCTAGTCCCTGTGCCACAATGGCTCTCAAATGTAACTGAGTGGTGGTAGATTGGTACCTCTCAGATGTTAAGAGAACTTAAGGAAGTCCTTCCAGTAGGTTGAGTAGAGACCTCCTGGAGAATTTGTGGAAAAAGCATAGATAAAAATTTGGATGAGACAAAACAGGATGGGAAGCTGTGGAATGGCTGAAATTTGTATGAATAGAGGGAATACCTACACTAATGAAATCATGGATTAATAAAAGTACCATTTTATTAAAAACAAGAGAAGCAGCATGCCAAATTGGATACAGCACTGATCCTGGAAGACCTGAGTTCAAGTCTGGCCTCAGAAATTTAATTTTGTGATATTGGGCAAGTCACCTAACTTCTTTGTGCCTCAGTTTCCTCAACTGAAAAACTGGGGGCTAGACTTGATGTCTCTGAAGGTCCCCTTGGCTCATCAATGAACCTAGGAACAAATCCCATAGAATATGCTGTCCTTAGGTAAAGATAATATTTCTAACCCATCAATCTACTGTACTGAATTATTTTCAAGTAAGGAAGATTGATCTGTATTGAACAATTTCTTGTCTTATTTCTATTGTGTCCTTTGAGAGTCATGTAATACCATGATCTGGGAAATATGTGGTTTGAAAACTGTGCCCCACCAAGTATAGAATTTGAGCTCACCTTGAATTTCCCGATTATTCTGTCTCCATCGATACAATGATCATCTTCTGTGGACTTGCCTCTGCAGAGCTCAAAGGTTTTTACCCAGTCTTCAAAATTGTTAAATTCACTCTCCAGATCTCCATCATATATCTTTAAGAAGAAGGGAAAACATTATGGTTGATAAGGGAATATTTCAGACAATTTCACAAGTAAAATAGAAATTCCTGTCAAGCCAAGGTCATTCTCATTGACCCGAATATGATTCATAGTTTTTGAAAGAGTAGAAAAAGAATAATAATAGCTAGCATCTATATACCTATGTAGAGTTTAAAATGTACTTTATATACATTATCTCATTTGATCCATAAAATAACCTACAAAGTAGATGCCATTAGTATCCCCATTTTGTAGATGAGAGAACTAAGGCTGAACTAGATTAAGTGACTGGCCCAGACTTAGACAGCTAGTAATATTGGAGGCAAGTTTCTAACTCAGGTCTTCCTGACTCCAAGTCTAACATTATCCATTGAACCACTTAGCCAACTTTAAGATAGATGATGGAAGAGCAGAACCACATGACCAAATAGGGCATTTGGGAACACTAACCAATTTGGGAATATCTGGGTCTTGGCTGAATCTTTTTGTGACTTACCTCCACCCCAACCCCAAACACCCAGTAACTTCTAAAGTGGTAAAAGACAAGCCCAAATCTGAGCATTCAATAGCGGTCACTGTACTCCTCTGTTGAGATAGAGCAAGTACCCTATATTCTCAGGGTACCCTGGGTCATCTTCTTTTGTTGAATCAGTAGAGGGAGAAGGAGAAAGAGGATGAGTCTACAATTCTTTGGCACTCTTTTGCTCTGTGTCAATGCTTAGCTGAGCTGTCAATCAGCATCAGGTCAGCCTGTGTGTTATTGTAATCACTAATAAGTGGCACTGGGGGGAAGGGAACCAAGGGAGTGACTTTCTCTCCTTGTTGAACCAGCTTTTTCTGGTTATCCATTAATAGCAAATTTTTAACCTAGGATTGGATATTTTAAGAGAATAAGGCTGATCACTTCAATTCAAGGCTAGATGTTGGTTAAGATTTTTTTTTTTGGTATGATGATATGTCCTATATTTTTTAAGACTAGACCCTTGAGGGCAGAATTGTTTCATTTTTATTTTCACATATGCAGTACCTATTATGGTCATTTGTACATAGTGGGTGCTTCATCAATGTTTGTTCAGTTGAATTGTTGACAACAGTTATATAAAGCTAGCCTGCTGATTACTAAGGGGCTTTCATAGTTGTTACTCATTAGCAATAACATTAAGATTAATTAATATTATTATTATCCTTTTTCTACTCTTTCAAAAACTATGAATCAATCAGGAGATTATTCCTTGAGTAAATTATAAGTGGCTAACTAGAAACACATGGATTTTCCTTGACTATTTCTGCTATACATACAAGGTGTCCCCAAAATATTAGTACAGTTTTAAGCTTTAGTAGCTTAAATATTTTAATTATTAACATGCCTTAGGAAAGAGAGAAATTAGCAGTTTTAGATTGGGAATTTCTTCTAGCAATGTTGATCACAAGCTATCTATAACTCATAGTCTTTTAAAAGAGTTGCTTTTGTCTCAGAGACATTAAGTGACTTGCCTATAATTATCAAGTTAGCAAGCATCAGAGACAGGATTTGAACTTACATCTTCCTGACCCTAAGGAGAAACCTTTCTAAGTCTAACCTTTCTACCACACTTTGCTCCCTCTCTTTAAAGTACACATCCAGTATTGCATATTTCTTTTGTTGTTGTTGTTTTGGCAAGGCAGTTGGGGTTAAGTGACTTGCCCAGGGTCACACAGCTAGTAAGTGTCAAGTGTTTGGTCTGAGACCAGATTTGAACTCAGGTCCTCCTGACTCCAGGGCTGGTGCTCTATCCACTGTGCCACCTAGCTGCCCCCAGTGTTGCACATTTCTAACAACAAAGGTTGTCATGGCAAAGTTAACAATAGCTAGTTTGGACGTTAGCTGGTTGGTGAGTGGGGGAAGTATATGCACAGCTCTTAAGTTTACATGCAAACTAAATCAAGGATGGAAGAACGCTTTGCACTTTACAAATTCAGTCATCGGAGTCCAATACATACTTTTATAGTGAAGGATTAGCATTTGTTTACTTCTCTTCTATTTGCTTTTTTACTTCTATCTCATTTTAGATGCAAAATGTGAAAATAATGATTTAACAAAAGGTTCCTGCTTTATGGCATTTACCCGTGAGATTCAAGCACATTATAATTCATTGTCAAGCACTAACAAATATAATGAAAGGCTGTTGCCTCTCTTGTTTTTAATATAAATGGTACTTTTATTAATCTATTATTTCATTTGGGATGGGTATTCTCTCTACTCATACAAATCTTGTCAATTCCCAGCTTCCTATCATGTCTTGTCCTATCCCAATTCTTGTCTATGATTTTTTCCATAAACTCTCCATGAGGGATCTACTCAACATACTGGAAGGATGTCCTTAGGTTCTTAGACTTGAGAATAGAAATGCAAACAGGACATTAATCAGTGACTCTTCTCACTAGTCTTCACAATTTAGCTGAGCTATGGAGAGATAGATAGATAGATAGATAGATAGATAGATAGATAGATAGATAGATAGATAAGATAGATAGATAATAAATGTGTATATCATAACACATACCTTCAGGGTGGCTAGGTTTGGTATGTTTTCTTCCTTTGGTTTCTTCTTGAGTATTTTATCTTTCTTCTTCTTTGGCATGTCTTCTATAGTCACTACCACCTCATCTGTTTTGGTATTTGTGGAAATTCAATCACAACACTTAAATCTCTAATTCCTCCAGATAGGAAAGAAGACACCTCCATTCTCATCTATACCTTTCAGAAGACTTCTTTTCCTTTTAGGATCAGCTCAGGCACTCCCTTTAATTGGAAGCTTTCTCTAATTCCCCCCAGTTGCAAGTTCTCTCTCCTTCCTCAAATTCCTTTTTATTAGGCTGAAGGGTGAATATGGTTTGTCCTCCAGAAGAGTGTAAGCTTCTCCTTGAAAACAGGAACTGTTTTCATTTTTTGTCTCTATGTCCCCAGCACCATCTTAGTGACGGCATATATGAGTTGATTAACCAATGGTTGTTTAGTTGAAGGACAAATGCCTGCTCCTCCATTTCTTTTCTTTCTTTTTTGGGGGTGAGGCAATTGGGGTTAAGTGACTTGCCCAGAGTTACACAGCTAGTGAGTATTATGTGTCTGAGGCTGAATTTGAATTCAGGTCCTCCTGACTCCAAGGCTGGTGCTCTATCCACTGCGCCACCTAGCTGCCCCACCATTTCTCTTTTAATTTCCTCCACCTCCCAAAACCTTGAAGCTTGCTTCCATTTCCTTCCCTCTATAATTAATCATGATCCCCCCCATATGCCTTTAAAATAACAACATAGACATTCCCTATACTTCTAGTTCTTAATCCAGCTCTTGTAACATAATAATCATTTGGTAAGTGTTTTGATCATTGGTTGTTGCTGGAATACATGGAACTGTCTTCCACAAGGATAGACTAGAATAGACTCACAGAAGCTTGGACCCAGGAGGGACCTGAGAGGCCATTTTGCCCAGTACCCTCAACATGCCCACCAAAGAGTTGAAGTGATGTGAAGGTCACATAGCTCATACACAACAGAGCTGAGACTAGAGCCCAGATCTCCTAATTCCCAATGTAGCATTCTTTCCACACCCCCATGATGCTGAGAGACCAGAATGACTCAGGCTGTTGTATGTGATGTGCCAAATTCACACAAGGGTTGTTTTAACTGCTGATGATCTCGATGACAGACAGCTAAGCTTAATTACTCATTAGTTAACCTTCTTCCTCTCTTACCCATTTTCATTCGGCTACTAGATCTAATACCTTTTCTATTTACTTTAGGCACTTGTAAATGATTGTGGAAATCTCCCAGCTCACAAAAAGTCACCAGTGTGTTATTTGTTTAAGAGTATAAAGAAGAAGTAAAAATAACTGCCTGACACTACATTCAATGCAATAACTCACTTCTAGGTTGAATGGCTATTTACAAAGAAGATTTGAAGTTTGACAGGAAAGAGAAATTGTTTAAAAGAGCATGATTTCTGCTGATGTGTAGTATTGAGCTTTCTTAGGACACAGAAACTCCAGAAAATCACAGTACCTCTCTTCAAAATAGTTGTTTTAATATTTCCTGATGGAATGCCATTTCTAAACCATCTGAAGGTAGAGGATGACCCAGAGATCATCAATCAATAGCAAAACTGGCATTTGTATTAAGGTTAAAAAAGAGAAAAGAGAGAGAATCATACAATTATAAAGCTGGATGGAAACTTAGAGGTCATCAAGTCTGACCTCTTAATTTTACAGAGAAGGAAAGCGAGGCCCAAAGAGATGAACTGATTTTCCCAAAGTCCGTGCATAATTGTATAATGAACATGATTATATAATCAACTCAATCTTTTTAAAAATTTCCTTTTCTGTTGTAAATTTAACAACTATCCACAAATAAAAATATTTCAACCTACCAAGAAGAACAATCTTTTAACTCAAGTAGGATTGCTTCAATAATCCTGAGATCAGATCCACCAGGAACCTTCAAAATACCTTCTGGTGATAGAGACCTCATTCATTCAGGCAATTCATTCCATTGCTGTTTGGCTCTAATTACCAGAAAACTCTTCTCATAATGACTCAAAAATCTAATTTCTTATAATTTTTTCCCATTGAGACTAGTTTTTTTTCCCTTCTAGGATCCAGAAGAATAGGTTTAATATTTTTCCTACATCATAGCACTTCAAATCTTTAAGACAGCTATCATATTTCACTTCCACCCAAGCCTTCTCATCTCTAGTTCCTTCAGGTCCTTGTCTGACTTGGTTTCCAGGCTTTTCACCATCCTTCTGGTTTTCCTTTTCTGGATACTTTGTCAATGACCTATGTCAAGTGTGACATCCTCTATAAAGTACAAGATTGCAGATGCTGGCTAATTAATGTTGAATATAATTGAACTATGACCTGGCTCATTATTTATTTATGTTATTCATAATTTACATTAATATTAAGTACACATTTCATTTTATATTAACATAGTTTCATTGTATGAATAAGCAGACATGTAATAGTGAAAAGAGAACTGGCCTCAGAGTCAGGAAGACCTCAGCTCTGACAAATATTAGCAGTTTGATCCTGAGCAAGTCAGTTTACTTTTCAATGCTTTAAACAGCTTTCTAGGACTACAAGTTGTTGAAAAAGTGATGACTTGCATTAGTGGACAAAGTTTCCTTATTTGGTAGCTCCCTATAACAATGAAATGGTCCAATCTCTATCCCTATGATTTCATTATCTTTCTTTTTAATGGTAGAATCTTATTGTTGACTCATTCTGACCCCAGATGGAATTCCCAGATCTGTTTTACTAGAATGGCAAATGTGCTGTAAAATATGGCTAAAGACTCAAACAGATTTGAGATTCCCTCCACTGATAGAGATCACAACCTATCCATGCCCTATCATCTATGTAACTCCACTCCATGTTCTCCCAAAAGTTTGCTATAAGGGATTCATACCTGACTTGCTGGAGACCTTCCTCAGTTTCTTCTGATATCCTGAAGGGACCAGTAGAACACTATGGCCACACATTTGTTATCCCTTGTTCTCTCCACATGACCATCGTATCTTCTCTTACTCTTATAAAATTCCTTGATGATGCCTTGAATTCCTATCTTTTTTCAGAATTCATCATTGGTTGTGAACAGGTTGTAACCTGCTTACACCCGCCATGCACCTCTCTCTATCCCTCTGGGATATTAATCATTAGCTTTTTGGAAGCAGAGCCTTGGGAAAATCTGATTTACTACAGCCTGTATTTGTGAAATTAATTTACTAATCCTAAAATGATTTATTTTAAAAATAAGGCACTATACTCAACAATATCTAAATCTATGACTTTAGTATACTTATTTCTTTTTAATTTTGAATTTATTTCATTGATTTCCATTTTATTGTTTCATGCTCTTCCTGATCTACAGATTCAACTGTTCTGGAAGAACAGAACCCAAAGGTTATCTTGGGCATGGTCCAGTGTAAAAAGAATGGTACTGGGAATCCAGAAATCGCATTCAAGCCTTGTGTCTGCCATCAGCTAGATGTATGACTTTGGGCAACTCACTTCCCATCTCTGGGCATCAGTCCTCACTCCCTAGTCTTTGGCAGGCTTGGGAAAAATCCCCAAGATCCTTTCTAGTATAATGCTCCATGATTCTTCCTTTTGAGAATGACTTTATTTGGTGAGCAAACTGTCCCCAAGTACATCACACCAAGTTCCCTTACCTTTGTTGTCTTTTATTTCTTTTTCCTGCAAGGGCAGGAGGGAGGGAGAGAGGAAGAGAGAGAGAGGGAGAGAGAGAGAGAGAGAGAGAGAGAGAGAGAGAGAGAGAGAGAGAGAGAGAGAGACACATACATAAGACACAGAGAGACAGAGTGAGTCGAGGAGCAAGGAGAAAAGATGGGAAGATAGGAGAGGAGAGAGGAGGAGAAGAAAGAAGAGGAAAGGATAGGAGAGGAGAGGGGAGGGAAGAAGAGAAAAGAAAGAAAAGGAGGTGAGAAAAGGGGAGGGAAAAGGGAGAAGAGAGGAAGAGAGATAATTCATTATCATCCTGATTACTCATTATCATCATCACTTGATATTTAATAAACTTCTACCTACACGAGGTATACTATTGGCAAGTAAAGGATACAAGTCTAATGTTTTTGTTCTTTCTCTTCTAAAAGTTTTTATTTAAAAAGAGTGTGTCCAAAAAGAAATTTGAAGTTCAAGTAGGCCAAATGAGCGATACCACTACAAAGAAGTAGGAATTAACCACACCAAAATGGTCAAAGAAGGATCTCACCTGTTACCAAAAAATCTTACTCACTTAGAGTAAGAACCTCTTAGATACCATTACCTTCCCCCTCTGGCTGGGGACCATCCTCACAGTCATTGTCAAAAGAGGATAGTCTTCATAGAAAGGTTTCATCTCCCAGGAGACTCTTTCTAGCCTTTATTATAAAATGTTTTCTAACCAATGTATCACAACACCTTGATACATCATGAAGATGCCTTGAGTGTGTCTTGATATCTTTTATCCACTCACTGCCATCTGTCCATTTCTGGCCAGAAGAGTAGAGAAAAGATGTGATAATAACAATAACTGACATTAGTAACTCATGCAGTGATAACAATAATGGAGAAAGTAAGAAAGATGGCTAGCTTTTGAATGCTTCTGTCTGTGTATGTGGATATGATTAAGGCAAGGGTATGGATGAATAGATGGCTTGAGTAGAGTATGGTTGGCTGAAGAGGAAGGTCACACCTTTTCTTCCCTGCCCTCTTTCCATATGCTAATGGGTCATGATCTGGAAAATCACAGAATCACAAAATCTCAAAGTTAGAAGGGCCTTAGAGGCTCTTTAATCCAACCCTACCTGAAAAAGAATCCTCTCTACAACACACTGCCCAGTTTCCATCTAGCCTTTGCCCATACACATCTGGTAGGGGAAAACCCAATATCTACTAATCCATCCCATTCTATTTTTGGATGACTCTAGAGTTAGCAATAAAAAAAAATATGTTCGAGTTTCATGCATGTGACAAAAGTAAAGGTCCTTCACTAAGCCAAAATATGTTTACATTTGAGGACATGTACCTTCGATGCTTTCTTCATGGAGGCATAATACTTGGACCACCAATCAATAACGTTTTCTGCAGACTCATCTGCTATGGTCCTCTTTCTCCTTTTGGTGGATCTCCTAGAAGGTTTGCTGGCAGCCTGGCAAGGGATAAGTCAACAATTATTGACAACTGTGATGGGTTGACTCAATGAAGGCACCCAAAGATACCAAGGAATGATATGTGGTAGGTCACAACTAATTTCCATAATCCAAAATGCTATATTTGGAGCCAGAAGACCTGTGTTCAATCCTGAATCTGCCATTTTAATACCTATGTGACTATTGGCAATTCACTTGACATCTGTCAACCTATTCTACAAGTATGGTATAAGCACCTTGAGGGAAGGAACTGTTTTTCACTTTGCATTTATATCCCCAGTCTCCAGCACAATGCATTGACCACAGATACTGATTGCATTGGAGAGAATTAGACTAGATGATCCCTAAGATCCCTTCAGACCCTAAGTCTACAATCCTATTCAGTTTCGAAAGTCTTGAGGCAAAAGGCAGCAATGGTTTAGTGGAAAAAACATTGCATTTGGAGTCAATATCCTTATCACCCATTAATTTTCATAAAAGAAAGGCAGCATAACATAGTATACAGCCTTGGAATCAGTAAGGCCTGGGTTCAAGTCCTGCCTCTGATATATGCTAGAGGATGACAGACCTCACTAGTTGTGTGTCACTGGACTTCTCGGTATCCTTGATAACTCTCTAAGGCTACAAGTTACTGAAAGGTTCTAGATTTGCATCAGTGTAGGGTTTCCCATGCTGAGAATTTCCCATACTAATGAAATCTCAGGTCTGGGATATCTTAAAAAAAAAATTAAAACCCTTCTTGAAACATGTGCCTTAAGGACTGCTTGAATAATAAATTCCACAAATGTCCTTCCTGCTACATAAATGAACATTTTATTAAAATTCTCTGCTTCTAAGCTTCCAGGAATAGCCTCGTTTCTTATGTTCCCAGATTTGGCATATGAGTTCATGTTACCCTTCCCTGTGCCCTTCATTATATAGGTCTCATTCATACCGAATCATAGAACCATGGGCTCTTAGAGTGAGAAGGGACTTTGGAGATTATCTAGCCAACTGCTTCATTTTATAAGGAACCTGAGGCCTTAAGTGGTCAAATGATTTACTCAAGGTCACATAGTTACTATTTGGCAGAGCTGGGACTAAAATCCTATCTTCTGATGATGGTGAGGATTTTTGTTTCCTCTTGCTTAGGGCAATGTAAGGATATTAGATGAAGCTTTGAGTAGAGGGCTGGGCTTGGAGTTCAAATCTTGCCTCAAGTACTTAATTAATTATGTGACCCTGCCCTAGTCACTTAAAAAAAACCCCGTGCCTCAGTTTCCTCATCTGTAAAATAAAGAAAATAATAGCACCCACTGACAGGGCATTGTGAAGATCAATGGGATAACTTTTCAAGCCTTTAAATTTAATAAATTTCAATTTTTTAAATTAAATGTTTTAATTTTAAATTTAAGATTTTGAAATTTTTATATTAAGTAAATCAAAGCATTAAATAAATGCTAGCTATATTTATAACCATAGTAATATGGTTATTGTGCTTTAAATTTATTTTTTGCTTCCAGGCTTTAGACTCCCCTTAACCACGATCTTGCTGACTCTTCACTTTCCATCTGCAGCTATGCTCAATCTGGACTCAATAGAATGTGATGCCCTGTGCCAGGTACCCCTTGGTGTCCACCTCCTTTCCAACGTCCTTTTGTGTGTTACCTTATCCCATTAGACCATAAGCTTCTTAAGGACAGGACCTGTCTTTCTTTTTCTTATTTGTACCCACAGTGCCTGGAATATAGGCATCATTTAATAAATGTTTATTGAACTGAATTGTTGAGTAAAGACATAGTGGTCTATAGAATCAGCATGGCATAGTGGAAAGAACATGAGATTTATAGTCAGAGTTCATGGGTTCAAATTTCTTCTGTCTGACCTTGGGTGAGTGTGGGACAATCATGAATGGGTGCAGAGCTAGATAGAGATATGATTTGGTGGGGACTCCTGGGATGACACGAGTGGCTTAGATAGTCCTTGGTCTACTGGTGAATCATAACACTCATGTGACCTGGACAAGTGTAGTCTGACCATTTTACTCCCCTGCTCAAAGAACTTTAATGGCTCCCACTTGCCTTTAGGGAAAAAAATACAGAGATTTCTCTTTATAACATTTAAAGCCCTTCCCAGTCTGGCTCCACCCTGCCTTAAACATTACTCCCCCTCATGCACTCTATACTTCAGACAAACTCTTCTATTTGCTGGACACAATGTTCCATTTCCCACCTCTTTGCTTTTATACAGGCTGAGCCTCATGCCCAGAATGCCCTTCTTCCCTTTGCTTATTTTCTCTGCTATTAGTGCCCCTTCCCGCCATCACTTTGTATTTACATTGTATATATCCTTGTATTTACTCATCTGTGGAAATGTTGGATCACCTCCCTCCTCCCCAGAAAAATACAAGCTCTTTAAGGGTAGGGGCTACCTCATTTATTTATTTGTAGCTTCAGCACTGAGTACCTAGTAGGCAGTTAATGAAGACATCTTAATTGACTGATCAAAGTTCCTTTCCCTCTCTGGGCTTCAGATTCTTCAACTATACAGTGAAAAAATTGGACCACGTGATTCCTCCAGTCTCTTCCAGCTCTAGATTCTATAAAACTCTGACCTTTACTTTTTCCTCCTTGGGTAGCTCAGGCGTGGCAGGCTTCGTTTCTGGCCCCAGCATCGGTGAGGAGTCAGGGATGTCATAGAGAGCTATGCTGGCAGTCTGAACCTGGGCTGTGTCTGGTACAACAGTGGGTGGCGGCTCAACCTGCACAAAGATATGATCTGGTGGGGGGTCCCGGGATGAGATCAGTAACTCAGAAGGTTCTGGCTCTGCTGCTGAGTTAGGTACAGCTGAAACCCGAAACACAACAAAGAGAGAGCAAAATCAGAACTGCTATTATTTATGGGCTAGGTCTATTGAACTACAATAATCTGGATCATTCAAGACAAAGAAATAGCTTTGGCCTGAATGATCTAGATTACTGCAGGAATCACTCAATCAACAAGCATTCATTAAACATCTACTGCATACCAGGCATTGTACTAAGTGCTAGGGATAAAAATGAAATATTTCTTCTCATAAGGGAGCTTCCATTCTATTGAGAGACAACATGTATATAGGGAAGCATATGTAAAACATTTCCAAAATAAATTCAAGGTCATTTGGGTTGGGTGGGGAGGCATCAGAAGGTGGGAGAGACCAGGAAAGGCCTCATAGTTGTCCTTTGAAGGAGACCAGTATTCTAAGAGGGTGAAGTGAGATGGGAGATTCAGAAGGCCAGTTTGGCTGAACAGTAGAGTACATGACAGAAAGCAGTAAGTTTGGTGAAGATGCAGGCTCCAATAATTCCAGAGGCCTGAAGATGAAGCTTACTCACATCATGAGAGAAAAATGAGGAACTAAAATGCAGAATGAACTATTTTTTGGATGTGACCAAAGTGGGAATTTCATTTTGTTGGACTACACATAATTGTTACCAGAGTTTTTATTTTATTTTTCTTTTCATTGTTAAATTGGAGGGGGGAAATGGGAGAGAAAATAAGCACTTGCAATAAACAAATGAATGAATAAGTAAATGAATAAAGAGAAGAATGAGTAAGTAAATAGATAAATAAACAAGTAAATATATGGTTAAAAAAAGAAGAAAATCTATGGGCTATGGTCAAGGTAACATTATGATACCAAAGATGTGCTTAATATCTAATATGATCAAAATGTGGTTTTTTGATGATGAATTAAGGAGCGTGTGCCAAAAATCTTGCAGACTCATTGCAAATTGTATACAATTTGTGTACACAGCAAAATGGGACATACTGAATGCTAAAAAATTTTTTAACGATGCAAAACATTATAAGGTTTGTCATGTAAGTTAATAAATCTAGTTTTTTGTCTTGTTTTGTTTTTTAAGAAATGTCAGAATGGAGCCTGGCTGAGAAAGGTATTAAATGTCAAAAAGAAATTGTTTTCAATCCTAGAGGTAATATGAAAACATGGCTTCGAAGCTGGTTTTCTACACTTCCTGGTTCCTTGACTAATTTTCAGAGATTTTTTTTCCCCTCCATACTATGGAAACTAAGACAAAGAAAATATGTCAGCTATCATTATTTCATGATATTAGACAATCCAGACCCTCAAGACGAAGCATCTGTTATGTCCTCAATTGACATTCTTCTCTAATACTTGACTTTTCAGTGGGCAAATGACCAGCACAAGTAGATATGATGCCCCCACGCATACACTCCCCAGGGCACCACAGGAGGCCTGACGTAGGGGCAGTTTTCATGGCCTCAAGGGGTCAGTACCCAGTGACCTTCTTACCTTGAACTTGCTGGGCTGCATCTACCTCAGAGACCAAGGCTGGGAGCTCCCCAGGTTTGCACAGAAATTGCTTGAGGCAGTTGATAGTGCAGGTACCCACAAGAGTGCTCCTCCCAAAAGCCCTCCAGTCCACCACACAGATGCTCAGAGGTGGGTGGAGGAGCTCATCCTCAGGCAGTTCCTGGTAAAAGACAAGATTGTTCAAAGTCTACTACTCTTGTGGCCATTAAGTTTGTAATAAATACAATCAAAGAGAGCAATTGTTAAAAAAATATTCATTTTGATACCACTGAGCATGAGATACGCTCAGAGTATATTGATAGTAAAAGATAGGGACTCAGCAGGATCTGGGCTTAACACTAAAAAAAAATCAAATGTATATGATATTTCAGGGCAGCTAGGTAGCACAGTGGATAGAGCACTTGCCTGGGAATCAGGAAGACTCATTTTCCTGAGTTCAAATCCAGCCTCAGACACTTACTAGTTGTGTGACCCTGGGAAAGTCACTTAACTCTGCTTCAGTTTCCTCATCTGTAAAATGAGCTGGGAAAGGAAATGGCAAACCACTCCACTGTATGCCAAGAAAACCCCAAAATGGGGTTGACTGAAATGAACAACAACAATGATATTTTAATACTTTAAGTGTCTGCAATTTCATCCCTTGACTAATGTAGTTTACATCAACATGGTGTGATGGACAGAGTATTGGATGTGTAGTCAAGAATTAAAATCCTGTCTCAGACATTTACTGGTTGTATGACCCTGGGCAAATCACCTACCTTCTCTGAGACTCAGTTTCTTTATCTGTAAAATGAGGGAGTTGTACTCAATGATCTCTAACATCCTTCTCAGCCATTTAACATCTGTGACTCTGATTCCTTCTATGACTTAACAGAAGCTCTTTGAGAATTTCTGTGGCCTAAACATTAGTTATTACGCCCACCTGAATTCAAAGCCTTTCCTGCTGGGTAGAACCTGCCAGAGCTTATGCTCCACTGACACAGCTTTTAATAACTCAGCATCGCCTCTGTGCCATAGAAGAGGACATGGTATGAGACACGGGATTTGGAGTCATGAGATATGGATTCAAAAGTCCATTCTACTACTTAATGAGCCAAAGACCTTCGGTAAGTCAAAAAACTACTTGGGCCTCAGTTTCCTCATCTGTAAAATGGAATAATCATATTCAAACTACTTAAATTACAGAAGGTGAAAGGAGTTGTGAAGAAAAGACTTTGCTAGAATTTATTTAGTGTCTTAAGGTTTATAAAGCATTTTATGTAGGTTTATATATCACTTATAATCAATTTGATATCATTTAAAATCAATATGATCTATTATTACTGTCGATGAAGAATCAGACTGCCTGTGACCATAAGGCTAGCAAGGACGAGTCAGGATTCAAGCTAAGTCTTCTGATTCCGATGCTTTTTTCAGTAAATTAAAAATAATAATAACAACAACAATATTCTACCATTTATATAGCATTTTATATACATTGTCTCATTTGGTCTTCATAACAACCATGTGAATTAGTTGCTATTATTACCCCCATTTTATAGATGAGGAAACTGATGCTAAAATAGATTAAACGACTTGCTCAGGTTCAGGTTTACTTCCCTGAGGCAGGTTTTAAATTGAAGTGTTCTTGACTCCATGTTCAGGGTGCCATTCACCACACCATCCAGCTGCCTACACATCTCCAAGCTGCCTCCAAGAACTCTGGAAGCTCCCCTGGCTTCCTTCAAGTCCCAGCTAAAGGTCTGCCTTCTGCAGGAAGATCTTTCTGATCCCCCTTGTGAGTTTCTGCTCTCTATTGAGGGAGGAAGGGAGGGAGGAAGACAGGAAAGAAGAGACAGAGAGAGAGAAAGGTAGATAGACACACAGAGTGAGCAATAAAGGGAGCAGAGACAGAGAGAAGGGGGCAAGAAACAGACACAAAGAAGGAGGAAAGAGAAAAAGAAAGAGAAGAAAGAGAGAGAAGAAAGAGGGAAAGAAGAAAGAGAGAGAAAAGAGAGGGAAGAGAGAGAAAGAAGAGAAAGAGAGAGAGAGAGGAGAAGAGAGAGAGAGAGAGAGAGAGAGATCTTGCTTGTACATAGTTGTCTGTGTATTCTCTCTCCCATCAGACAGTGAACTGCTTGAGAACAAGGACTATCTTTTTACCTTTATTTTTATCTCCAGAGCTTAGCACAGTGCCTGGCACATAGAAAGCACTTAATAAATGTTAACTGACTGACTTATAAGCTTTAAAATACTATGACAATGTAAGACAGTGTGTCATAATATATAGAAGACCAAACTTGTAGTTAACACTATTTGGGTTCAGATCTTGTCTCTAACACACACCAGCTGTGTGACTATGGGCACTAACTTTGTCTGGAGGCAACATGGTCCAATGGACAGAACACCAGCTCTGGAGGCAGAAGACCTGAATTCAAGGCCCACATCTGCCACTTACCATCTGAGTGACTTTGGGATTCAGTTGCCTCATCTTTACAGTGAGAGGGCTGGATTATAGTATAGCCTCTGAAGTCTTTTCCAGCTTTAGATCTGTGATCTCTTCAGTGCGTCAGGAAGCTTTCTAATGATGATAGTAATTTATAATATACTGATGATTGAAATGTATTATTTGAAAAACTCTGGATAATATATTTTCCACATAGGCCCAATAGGTCTTATTATTTTTAATTACTATAACATTATTAATTATAATATTTGTATAGAACTTTACAATTTATAAAAATGTCTTCAATCAATCAGCATTTATGAAGTGCCTTATTACTAATTGTGAGCGCTGTGTTAGGTGCTAGGGGTATAAAAAGAGACAAAAGACAGTCTGTGCTCTCAAAGAGTTTGCAATTTAATTGAGGAGGTGACATGCAAGCAAACACATACAAAGCATATATATTACCCTATATACAAGATAAGTAGGAAATAGAGGGAAAGCACTAGAATTAAGAGGGGTTCAGGAAGGCTTCCCCTCATTTAATTCTATAAGGTAAGACATAACAGGTATTAGTATCCCTTTTGTAGGGAAGAGGAAGCTGAGGGTCATAGAAGTAAAAGGATTTGATCAAGATTATAAGACCATTGACCAGTGGGACTAGGTTTAGAATAGGTTTTTTTTTTTGTTTATGCAAAATGCTAGGTTAATGTTTTCATTACTAATTCACAATATGTAGGAAACCATTATATTCTCTAGGGATTTTGCCAATTCATCAAAAACTCTAATTCTGTACTCTTACCAAGTTGAGATTTGTGATTATTGGGATAGTGTGAGGCAAAAGAGAACAAAGGCTTTCTTCGTTGACAGCATCTTTTTGTAGAGAACAAGACTGAGAGAGGGAATATTTTAAAAACCTGGAGAGGAAACTGCTTTCCAACACCAGCAGGCATTTGAGACAATTTGGGTGCTACTAACAAAAATTTTCATTACAAATAATTAATCTATTCATTAGGTAAGTTCTATAGCTACTTGGCAATACTTTGTAAGCCTAGTTAGATTTAGTGTATATATGTTCTTCCCCTCCTATACCACTGGGAAGCATGGAAAATTCACAGCCTCTAAAGAATTAAAATTTCAGGTGATACAAAAGACAATAGACAGATGTTCAGAGGGCAGGAGTAAGCTGTAGCATATTGTCAGTAAATAATTATGAAGTAAATGTATTATAAAAACATTACCAAGGAAATTTACTGGAAAAGGGTGTGGCAAATCATGTAATGGGAACAAAGGATAAATAACCAAGGGGCCGTCCATGACCTCTAGTGGTAGTTGTTATCATTCAGTTATTTCAGTCATGTCCAACTCTTCATGACCCCATTTGGGGGTTTTCTTAGCAAAGATACTGGAGGGGTTTGCCATTTCCTTCTCCAGCTCATTTTACAGATGAGGAAACTGAGGCAAACAGGGTTAAGTGACTTGTCCAAGGTCACGTGGCTGGGCTAATAAGTGTCTGAGGCCAGATTTGAACTCAGGAAGATGAGTCTTGTTGACTTCAGGTCCAGTGCTTTACCCACTATGCCACCTGGCTGCCCTTACATTCTAGCAGTAGGCACACACTAATAAAAGATGAAGAACACTCCAAGCATGCTTGCGGGGTATATCCCATATGAAAGATTTGATATATGTAGACAAGAGTCACATGGAATGAGAAGGATTGGATGCATTGTGCTCTGTACCATTGGGAGAAGCGTCTACACTTGTAACACTGCAGATTCATCTTAGTATCACAGTACTTTAAATGTAAAAAAAAAAGAAACAATGATTTTATCATATAATTTAGATTCTTCACTTCTTCAGACTGACCTTTCCTCTAATTAGTATGATTTAGGATCAGAGATTAGAAAGCTGGAAATGAAAGGGACCATCTAATCCAATCCCCTTATTCTGCATTTGAGAAAATTGAGGCCCAGAAAAGTAAAGTATTTTGTCCAAGGTCACACCAATAGTGTTACTGATAGAATTTGAACTCAAGTCCTCTGACATCAGAGCCAGTACTCTTTCCGGTGTGGCCCAAAATATACTCGCAGGCCCTAAAAGCCAAATTGAAAGTAAAGCATGTCCCACACATAGGAAGTAGCAATAGATGGACCGTAAGAGGGACCCACCACTTCAAACCAATCCACTTGGACATTGAAGTTAGGATTGTTCTTGTAGCTCTGGATCACACAGGATTTCACTCCTCTCCCAGCACACTCTATGAGCACCTGAGGGCGATCCACTGAGAGGAGATGCACTTTCTTCATTTCTCGAACACCCCAGAAGAGAACCTAGAGACAAACCCAATGGCACAGTCAATAAGAAAGGCTCTGAAAAGCCCATCAACCCAAGCATTTATTAAGTACCCATTCTGCAAAAGGCACTGTGCAACCACAAAATAGTACCTGCCCTCAAGTAGCTTACATTTTTTGAGGGGGGAGGAGATATAACCTGTAAATATATATTATTTGAGGAGGAAGAAGACAAATAGGAGAATTAGGAAAGACATCCCTTAACATGTGGCCCTTTAACTAAAACTTAAAGGATTTTTAGACACAAAGGTAAGAATCACAGATTTAGAGCCAGAAAGAGTCTCAGAGGTCATTGAGTCCAGCCACTTCATTTTACAAATGAAGAAACTGAGACCCAGAGAGGTTAAGTCACTTGCCCAGGTTCATCTAGCTAGTTAGTGAATTTGAACATAGATCTTTATGACTATATCTGCCGTGGCCTAGCTACTGCACCGAGCAGCTCATCAGAGGTTAGTAAACTATGGCCCATGGACCAAATCGCGCATTACAGTCTGTTTTTGTATGGCCCAGGAACTACAGTCCACATTTGACCCACATGCCATAGCTTTCAACCTTATGGGGGGGCATCCTGTCCAAAGGACCATATGATCATAATTCTAGAGCTAGAAGAGACCCTCAGAGGTCATCTTAGTCCAATCCTCTCATTTTTCAGATGAAGAAACTGAGGCCGAGAGGTTAAGGTATTTTCACAAGGTCGCCTAGGTCATATATAGCAGAAGCAGAATTTCAACTGTCAAGAAAAAAAAATAAATTCTCCTAAAGAAGTGTTTTTGTTCAGTCGTTTCCAACTCTTTGTGACCCCATTTGGGGTTTTCTTGGCAAAGATGCTGGAGTTCATTCCTTTGATAGATGGTTTAGACTACATGGGTTGGACACCAAAGTCCTTTCCAAGCTCTCAGATTCTTCAATTCTTTGGTTTGATGCTGTAAATCATTTGTAAAAGCTTGTCCATTCTCTATTAATTTCTCTTATCCAAGATACTTTGGATACTTGGGTAAGAAGTTCTTACAAAACTTTATATAAATGGGTTACATAATCATATGGGTCGGTGGTTATATTTCCTTGTTTTTTTGTTTGTTTTTTGGTAATGACAAAGTCTTTAATATATTTTCTTTCTTCAGGTACTTTGAAAACTAATCATACCTCGATAGCTTCAAAATTGTGTTTCCTCAAGCACAGGAAAAGTGATGTCAACAACAACAAATGACAAAAATCTATATTTGTGTACTTAGAGGCATCACAAGATGGTGAGATTGCCTCAGTGCCAAGAGGAGATGGGTTCAAGTCCTGCCTGTGACACATACTGACTTTGTGTTCCCAGGCAAGTCCCTTAAATTCTCAGTGTCCCAGGAAACTCTGTAAGACTATTATCTGCAGAGCAAGTGCTGATCTGCATTAGTGGAGGTGGAGGTAGGGAGGAATATCCTCAAAGAGAGTTCCTTGAATTGATGAAATCACCCAAATTCCAAATTTATGGCTAATGTTCAAATGATACACTGCCCACTTAGGGAGATTTTAATGCCTTTGAATCCGATGGAAAATTCCAAAATTTTTTCTAAGCCTTACCTCTACTCTGTATGTACTCAGCACAGGACGAATATTGGCAGGCACTGGATAGATCTGGGCGACATCGGGTGGGTCAACGGGAGGAAGATCTTGTGGGCCTGAGGAAGGAACCTAACAAACAAAGCAAATGCTCATTAGCAAGGGACAAGAAAACCAAGAGGATTCGGGAGAATGGAGAACAAGATACTTCTTGACGGTGTTGAACTTTATTTCCTTTGAACTTCATGTAAAATGCCTTGCAAACTTTGAAGTACTACATAAATATAAAATATTAGTAGTTAAGATTTATATAGCACCGGCTATGTGCCAGGCACTGTGCTAAACACTTTACAATTTTTATCCCATTTGATCTTCACAACAACCCTGGGAGGCAGGTGCTATTATTACATCCTCATTTTACAGATGGGAAACTGAGGAAAACAGAAGGTAAGTGGCTTACCCTAGGTAACGTAAGTAGTAGGTATTTGAGGCAGGCTTCAAACTCAGGTCTTCCTGACTCCAAGTCCTGTGCTTTATTCACTTTAAATGTAGGAGTAGTTGGGGCAGCTAGGTGGCACAGTGGGTAGAGTACCAGCCCTGAAGTCAGGAAGACCTGAGTTCAAATCTAGCCTTAGACCAAACACTTGACACTTACTAGCTGTGTGACCCTGGGCAGGTCACTTAACCCCAATTTGCTTAAAAATAAAAAGTAGGAATAGTTCAGAACAAATGCCATGGTCATACTTTAGAAATGACTACTTCTATCTTCATATTAAATTTTTCTGATGGGAGTTTGGTATACAAGCTATATAAACAATTAACAGACATTAACTATATCTATTTCTATTTAATCAAAAGACATGTCTGATAGATAGTCAAATAATATGGACAGTTCTCAAAAGAAGAATTGCAACCTAGTAGCTATATGAAAGAAACCCTAATGATAAAAGGAATTCAAATCAAAACAACCCTGAGGTTTTACCTCACACCTTATAAATTGGCGGAAACAACAACAAATGGGAATAGTCAACTTTGCAGGGGTTGTGGAAAGATAAGCACACTGGTGCATTGTTGGTGGAGTTGTGTGTTTGCATGTATCAAACCTAGTAACACTTTCTATGATAGCAAAAATAGTAAAGAAATGGAAACAAAGTAGATGTCCATCAATTGGAGAATGTGATATTGTGCTGTAAGAAATGAAGAATGTGATAAATACAGAGGAGCATAGGAATATTTACATGAACTGATGTAAAATAAAGAGACTATTAGTCAGGAAAATAATATTCATAGTAACTATGATGTAAATAGAATGAACAACCCTCCCCCCACACACACACTCATACAAAGTAGAAGTGAATCGTGCTAATTAGCAAAGAAGAAATGTGAGAAGACATTCCCACAACATCACTTTGAAGAGGTGGGAAGTCCACAAGTGTACATTTCACATATTTTCAGATTTTTTTTGATGTATTTACTGGTTATGCTGATTTATTCTTCCTTTTTTAATTTAAAAATATAATTTGTTATATGGGTGTTATGGAAGGGGAAAGGATAGTGAAGGAAACTAAGGTTGTATAAAAAAATAAAACCTTATTTAAAAAAGAAATGCTTATTTCTGCAATTTGGAAAAATGCTGAAAAAAGTGGCTTAAATATCCATGTCTTTTGACCCAGATATCCCACTACTAAGCTCATGTACAAGAGAGGTCAAAAATAGAAAGATAACAGATAAAACAAAAATTCCTAGCTGTACTTGTAGCAGCTAATTACTGGAAACAAAGTTGATCCCAGGTACCCATCACCCACGGAATGGCTAAATAAATTGCAGTACATGAATGTAATGGAATATCACTGACTTATAAGAATGGATTAATATGAACCTCACAGAGAAACATAGAAGACATTTTAATTCAATATACATAACATACACAAGATACATGACTATAGTAATACAAATGTGAAGAACAACCAAAAAAAATAAATCTATAATTATAGTGTACTTATAATGAACAATTCTGTCCTCAAGGAAGACACGAAAAAAAGCACCTTCTTCCCTCCTTTAATAAAAGAAAAGGAGACTATCAGCGTGGAATGTTGCTTATCTTGTCAGACTCGGTTAATGTCTCGGCTACTTTTAGTAAACTGCTTTTTTTCTATTTCATTGTCACAAGGGAAGGCTTCCTGGGTAGGATTGTGGGAGGAAAGGGTATATTTAGAGATGAAGGTGATATAAAAACTAAAGATTTCAATAAAAAAAATTACCTATTCCCCTCCCTCACCTTTTACATGGAGAAATATCTAATATGACTGTGTCAGATGCTCATAGAAATGTCTAATTATATTATAGTATTCATGATGATGGCTAAACAATAATTAATTTGTTTCTATAGTGTTTTATGGTCTACCAGGTGCTTTCCACACATTGTCTTGTTTCAGCTTCACAAGAACCCTGTAAAGGAAGTACTGCAGATATGGTTATTCTAATGTTTCATGAAGAAACTGAGGTTAAGAGAAGTGAAATGACTTGCCCAGGGTCATACAATAAGACCAGCTATTTAGCCACTACACCATGCATTTTTTCTAGAGAAATAAAAATGAAATATCTTAAACATAAATCTTTGGGGTGTACAAAGCTCATCTTTACAGTTTTGCACACATATACAACAGTGGAGGTGTCATTGTCTTTCACCCAAATTTCTTGGAAAGGGCCATACATATCCAATGTAATGCCCCCATCTCCCTTCATTAATCTAACAGTCCATCTTTCAGACCTGCTTCAAAACTCATCCACTCAAAAAGGGCTTCCTTGATCAGCTCTGTTCTCAATCTGGTCACTTTCCTGTCTTCTGGGCTATCCCAGGTGGCCTCTGTTCATTAGCCTCCTCTTAGTTCAAAGTACCACCAATGTATAAACTATTACTTGTGGAAGTGAGGCTAAGCAATGGGTCAAACCAGTATTATTATTGTTGTCATGATGACAATGAGGATTACTTATTCTTCTAAGTGCAGTTCCCATTTGTGAGAAATGATTATTTCTCTCTTGTATTAACAACTAATTATTGAATCTGAACCGTTTTTCCCCTTTTCTACTTCCTTATCCAGAAATCAACCAGCGTGCAAAATCTTTCTAAAAAATTACCTAGCCAAAATAGCTGAGATCTAATCAAAGACAATAAAAGAAATTCCAAATTCAGTCGCATGGGTGCATTCCTATTCATTTTCTTTACTCAGGGAAAATGTCGATTCTTCCTTTTGTCAGACAGGTGATATGGAAATTGATAAGTTCCAGATTTGGGTATGGATTCAAGTCATGTACCCAAGGATCCTCATTGTAATATAGCCAGCCTCTCACTGTAATATTCATTTTCTCATTAATTGCTAGCCAGAGTTGATTGCTACCCTCAGGAATACCTACTCTTCCAAGAGTATATAAACATCATGAGGAGTCTTTGGTCTGAGAGAGATGGCCAAATGACTGTCCTTTTTATTAATAAAGATGCTAGCATTATTAATAAAATGATTATCACGTATCATCATGTCTCTCAAAACTTTTTAAACATCACATATTTTGAGAGATGTCTTTACTAAATACAAGTATCTGTAAAAAGTAGTAATGGGGGGAAGCCACTAGGTGGCACAGTGGATAGAGCGCCGGCCCTGGAGTCAGGAGGACCTGAGTTCAAATTTGGTCCCAGACCAGACACTTGACACTTACTAGCTGTGTGACCCTGGGCAAGGCACTTTAACCCCAATTGCCTTGCCAAAAAAAAAGTAGGAATGGGTTTGTGCCTGGGAGGAATTTGATTTGTGGGAGCACTCGGCTGGTCAATAAACATTTATTAAGCACTTACAGGTACTATGCTAAGGACTAGGGATACAAAGAAAGGTAAAAGACAATCTCTGCTCTCAAAAGACTCAGAGTGTAATAGGGGAAGCAATATGCAAACAACTGTGTATAAATATGATATATGCAGGATAAATTGGAAACAATCAAAAACAGACTCTGAATAAATGTTTTTGAATTGAGTATGCAGCTGCATTCGTCAATGGTTGCTTTACTTACCTTGATGCTAAACTCAGTGACAGTTATGTTTAAATTCATTCTTTCCCCTCTAGCACTTGAGGTAATGCTCTGCACCCAGAAAGTGCCTGATAAATCTTTTTTGACTGAATGACACAGTGAACCAGGAAAAGAAAACAAAAAAGAAAAACAAAAAAAGTGCGCTAGAAAATCTATTTCAGCCTCAAGCCAGGGAAACGATTTCCTGTCATTTCGGCTTCCCACACAGCTGGTGTTTTAGCAGAAGCAGGTGGGGTTGAGCTTATTACCGAAACAGTCACAGGAAAAAAGGAATCTTTCTGAGTGGGTCAGACACCAGGAATGCAAAGCAAGCTCAGGATAATGAAGCTTCCAAATGGATTGGGCTGTATACGGGAGCTCAGCAAGAACGATGATGAATCTCTGACATTGTGGCAAAGAGCTAAGCAATTCAGTGTCCAAAATTGTACATAATCTACAAAGCCAATAATCAGCTCTCCCTGCAGAGAGTAAAGCCACAGCACAGACGCAACCCTGCTACAATTTCTAGCTTTATCTTGAAAACAGAGCACCATATGTTTCCTCTTCCTGGGGCTACTTGATGAGTTTGGCCAATGAAATGCTCTGGATAGGAAAACGCCCTAGATGAATTCCTGAAAGAAGCCCTGCAAATCACAGCCAATCAGTTATTTCCAGGGCAATTCAAACCAGGAGGGATACCAAAGAGCTTTACAGATTGAATTAATTAATGGATTTGCTCCAGGCCAACATGCAGCTACTTTTTGCAATGGGATAATATCGGCATCTGGATTATCAAATAGGATGGTGTACTGAAAAGACCATAGCAGCTGCTGCAGTGAGAATTTTAGATAAGCAGATGGGGTTGGTTCAAGTGCCAGATGGGCCAAAATACCATCAGTATGGGCCAACACTCAAAAGATCAGCCCTAGGTTTTCCCCATCTAGTTACACGGAGCTTAGTGACAACCCCCAGGAGAAAATCCAGATCTATTCCCCACTCCATCTGAATTCCATTTAAACCTCTAACCTGGTTCAGCTCCTTCCTGATTCTAGACTACCTTTCTACCTTCACCC